CTGCATAAATTGATGTGATTATTAGATTATTTAGGTGTAATAATTGTATCGTGGTTACAAGGATAGAATTCTTGTCTTTTAGAGAAATACTGAAAAATATTTATGAGTGAAATCATAGGCTATCTGGGAGTTGACACAAAATAATTCAGTGGAGAGGACAAAGATGAAACAACGTTGGCCCACAGGAGACCCCTGTAGACGTTAATTATACTAATCTCTCTCTCATTGTATATGTTTAGAAGTTTCTCTTTTTTAAAACCTTTTAAAAATTAAAGAAAATATAAACACTGTTTGAAATATGGCATAATATATATTATACAATATGTACCTTTGATAAACACAATAATAGTTTATTTTAAGAACTATTAGTCATAAATATGGCTTTAAATATATATATTCTAAACATAGCAAAATCATAATATCTGAGGAAATGGAAATGTCTTATGTTTCATTTAATCTCATTGTTCTCTTTGCCTGGATTTGGGAACAGAAACTGCTTCACTAAGTCATAACTGTCCCAAAATATTCTTAATTACTGATTTCAATAAACATATTCCTGCATCCTAGGAATAAATTAAAAAATGAAGCTTATATCCAGGTACGCCTTGACTACGTTAAGGTAGTTGAATAACAGAGAACTTATGTTGAACTGAATTTTATACAGGATCCTCAAATCCTTTTTTTCCCCTACTCCTAATTTTTCTTTTAGGGGAGCAAATTTTGGTACTGTTAGCTGTCGCCTGTGTAGTTCTTTGCAGCTAGTGGTGTATATGGAATAAATGAATGCTTAAAACCCATGTAAATAATTTCAATGATGATATGAAAAAAATTTAAAACGAGCTATGAAGACCAAACTATTTTTGTAGAAGTTGCAGGAGGTGACATTAACCATTAGACTAAGGTTACTATTTAGACTGTAATCAGATGTTAATGTGGAAAGAAATCTGTGAACATTTTTTCTGGATGAGAGCTCAAAGTCCCCCGCACTTCCAACAAAACGTAGCGAAGGACGGGTGCAAAATCTTGGAAGACACCGTTTTCTGCTAGGTCTCACTGCCAAGCCTCGTTAGTTCTTACTGCTGTTTTATTCTATTATTTTTCTCGTAGTTTCTGCCGTTTCTCTAGATTTTCTGCCGTCCGTTACTGAAGCCAAGTCAAAATGAAAGGAGCAGGGGCTCCGGATTCTAGCGGTCTGGAAATGCGAGGCTACCCTACCATAAGCTCCATTCCAACGTATAAGCGGGTTTCGAATACGCAGTGCACACTGTATCAGGGCGTGTAGAATGTTACCGCCAGAAGCCACCTGCGTGGGACGTGCTGGCCACCGACGGGCACCTGGGCTCTCTGCGGGGGCAGCCACCTCCACCGCCGCTCCTGCAGACCCCGGCCTTCCGACTCGAGCGTCTGACTCCGGCTAGTCCTTTCCTGAGCTCTGCGTCCCCCTCCCCCTCTCGGAACTCCGCCCCCAGCCCTGGGCGCCCCAGCTCCCTGAGCACGTTTCCCGCGGGCACGATCCAGCGCGGGGGCGAACTGGAGGGTGAAATCAAGACTCAGGAGAGGAACTCCAGCTTCGCCGGCTGCGCAGGGCAAGGAGCTCTCCACTTCCACCGCCTCGGGAGGGCGGCCCGGAGCAGGCGGCGGCCCCCCAACCCCCAGAGGACTTCGCAGTACGCGGGCACCTGCGACAAGGGGTTCCTGGGTTCTTGGGGACCAGGAGGGGACAGAGAACGAAAATCACGCTGGGGAAAAAGAACGCACAGGGCTCTCTTCTGACTCCTCGCTGGCTGTCTCCTGCTAAGTGGAGAGCTCTAGTTAAGCGTGCACCCGCACGTCCCCGCGTCGGGTCTAGCCGTGACCTTCCCACGCTCCGCCGAGCGCCTCCTAAGGAAGCGCAGAGCCGGGTGCAGGGCCGGGGACCTGACAGCGCGCGGCCTTCGGAGCGTCGGGCGAGTCTGGGGCTGTGAGAGAGAAACGCGCTGCCCGGCGGAGGGGGCCGCGGGACAGAGTCCCAGAGGACGAATTGGGGGCCCTGGCCCTTGTCGGGCTTCGCCCTCTGCGACACACGAGAGGCTCACGCAGGAAAAGGTCGCAGGAGGGCATGGGGTTAGTTGTTCAAAGGCCAGACTGGGTCCGGTGACACTGCCTGGGGGTCCTCAGGCGACTCTCTCAATTTCTCCGAGTTGCAAATTTCTTACCTGTGAAATGGGGAATGCTCTAGTGTGTTCTTCAGTGAGAGCTGGGCGTGTTAACGCGGGATCCGGTGCCTGGCAGACAGCGAGCGGGGGAATTTCTTAGCCACTATTGGTGCTATTACTTGTGTACCGATTGGTACTATTGGTACTATTATTTGTGTGACTCGCGAGGGGAGAGTCACTTTCCGCCAGTTTCCCTTCCGCCCTCTCCCCAGCCTCTCTGGGCCTCCCCGCCCTTCGCGCTCCGCCCCAGCCTTTGCTCGGCTGCCCGGGGAGCTCCGGGTTCATCCAGTTAAGCCTGTCCTAGAGACGACGAGCCCGAGGGTCGAAGACGACCCTCGATCCTTCCAGCAATTCGGCAGCGACATGGTTTTTAACCCCAGCCGTCGGGCTGACAGAGCCCGGGACTCCCCTGCGCAGCACCACGGGGCCCGGCCTGGGATCCGGAGCGGTGGCCGGCTGCTCTGCGCGGTCCCGAGGGCGGCCGGGCCTGGTCACTGCACCGAGCACGACGCGCTCCAGCGACGCGCCCGCTGGATATTTGCAGGGGCCCGCGGCGCCGCCACAACGCCCGGGCCGTGCGGTGGCGGGTTTGGTGGTCGCAGCACCGGGAGACCGTCCTTTGGCAAGCTGAGCCGGGGTCCCCCCAAGCGGGTCCCACCCGAAGACCCGACCTCTCCGCGCGGTCCTGGTGCTTCCGGCCAGGTGGACTCGAACAGCCTTGTTCGATTGGAGAACGACCTCTAATGTACTCCACCACCGATCGATGTGTGTGTGAGTGTGTTTAATTCACCATTCGATATGGTTTCATTAGATAAAATTTAGCCCTTTGCACTCGCTTGCTTTTTTCTCATCAATCCGCTCGACATTATCCACACTCGACATCGGAGTGCAAAGGGTTAGGAGCTCGGGGCCGGCCTGGATCGGGCTCTGACCCTCAAGTGCCCATATTCGGGGCTGTGCTGGTTTGACCTCGGGCAAGGGAGGGAGGAAAATCCCAAGAGCGTCTAGAGAGCCTTGGGAAATCCGTTTTGGGTTCAGTGGCCGGCTGTACCTGGCGCTCCCAGAGCGTTTGTTGACTGACTGACTGAATGAAGGTAGGCCTGGAGACGTTTTCAGGCTAAAGGCAAAGGGCATTGGAACATGAACGGGCGAGAACGTGGCATTAAACAGGACCCCTCTATTACTTAGTTTGTTTGCAAACTGTCCGGCTGCCCTCCCAGACCTGCCACATTGGCTGAAAGTGGTCTATTGAGGATCCCGCTGGTGTCCCGGGGAAGGCGGCAGTGCAAAGGGGAGAGACGAGTTGGGAGCTCGGGACCCCGCGGCTACCAGGGGTGGGGTTTGGGAACTTTCCAGAACTTCCCCGGAACTGCAGGAGCCCCCAAGGAGATCTCTGATAGGGGATCTCAGGCAGGGCGTGCCAAAGAAGTTCCAAGTGATGACTTGGAGAAGAGAAGCTGGAATAAAAAACCGCCCCATTAAACTACTGTAAAAATTGTTGTCTCCGCGTTTTCCCTACCCCCGAAATGAGACCTGCATGGCTGGGAGTGGGACTAGATCAGGGGGAACATTCCCACATTGACAGAGTGGCTTCCCTCAAAGTCGCACCGACTGCAATTCTTTTGAGACGTGAACCCTGCTCAGGACTGGGGAAACGGCCCGGTCTCTACACATTTGTTTTCTTAGGGGGAGTATTTTTGTGATGGGCGTTCTCGCCTTGTTTCCCCATCCACTCGGTCACCTGAAGCCAAGTAACAGCTAAACCTTCCTGGTTGAAAGTGCTTTCAGAGGTTTTTTAAGAAAAAGAAGGTTTTGAAAATTCTACTGCTTTAAAAAACATATATTGCCTTTTATTTTCCCTGAATATGTTGGCCACTTCATTCCAAGTTGATCTCAAATGGTCCTCCGTCTTATTGGGGGAGGGGGAATCAACGTCTTCAGAAAGATAGAAAATAAATGGAGAATATATTTACATTTTCTCTGATTCTTTTTCTTCTAGACATAAATACTAAATCTTCTATTTTAAAGGTCAGGGCTTTTTCAACCCCAAATATTCAGAATTTTTAAAAGCCATATGAAAAATGGAATGTTTCTGATACCTATAACAAATATGAATTGTAAAAATAAATTGTTTAATTGGGAGAAAAGAAAATAGGTTTTAAAAGAAGTTCTATTTATAAGGCGTCATAGAAAATAAACGATGTAGTGCAGTGACTTAGCATTTATTTCGTCTGTATAGCTAGGCTTAATTTTAACACCTCTCCATCAAAGATGGCACGTTAGCACAGATAAGAAATATAAATGTTCTGAAATTAAAATTCTACTTATCTTACATATCGCTATCGGGAAGACGCAGAAGGTGTAAGCATTTTGCACTGTACTTGTGAGTAATACTTGCAGTTCCTAGGGGGTGAAGATGGGGGAAACGTGTTTTGCCTTGGAGACTGTTTTCTTTGTTTCTCTTATTAGACAAGAATAAAAATACCCCACTCACGTTCATGGCTCCTCGGGAAATGTGCAAATAGGAAAAGCCACGGAGGCCACGACTGAAGGCAAGCAAAGACAGGGCGACTAGACGCCCTCCGAAGTCGGCGTTTAGGGTGCCTTAAGAGGAGCGGGATGCAGCGGCTCCTCTGTAACTATTTTGCAGCGAACAAAACTTAGAGGTTGCTGGGCGGCGGGGTTCCGATGCACACGCCCAGTGCCGCTGCGCGACGTGCCGCGCGCCAGTGCGGTCGCTCCGCCCTCCCACCCGGCTCCAGGTGCACCTGCGGAGTCGGCCGGGTAACTGGGTGTGGGTGCTACTCAAAAGGCTGGCGAGGTCCCCTCTGCGCCCAAAGGGGCGGCCAGAGATGTCAGCCTAGAGCCCTCTGCCCCGGTCTGGTACTTGAGCAGCGCCGCGGCGGACAGGTGCCGGCCCTGTAGCCCTCCCTTGCTGGGAGCGCCGCTGCGGCCACAGTCCTGCTGCTGCTGCAGGAGCGCTCGAGCGGCGGCGGACACGTGCAGCAAGGGGGCAGTGGCCTGGGGATGCCACAGGCATGACGGACGCTGCAGCAGGTGGCAGTAGCCCCACGGGGCCGGGGGCAGACTCTGCGCGGCCCCGGTCCCCTCTCCCCTGACCCCTTGCATGATACTCTCGATGCTGAAGGAGGTGCGTCCTCCTCCGGGTCGTGCAGCCAGACCCTTGCCCTCCTCCCAAGGCTGGGAGCCCAGCGAGGGCTGCTGCACCCGGAGGGCGCCGGGCGTCGCCAGGTCTGCCCCCTCCGATTTCCTCCGCACCTCGGCGTAGGCCGGCGCCGAGAGCAGCAGGTAGCGGAGGGGATGCGGGTGCGGCAGCGCGGGCGCGCGGCCACCCGGCGCGGCAGTAGGGTAAGCCCCCGGGAGCCGCGGGGCCGGCGGGCCGAGCAAGAGGCCCGGCGGGGGGCCGTGCAGGACGGCGGGTGCCGCGGGCAGAGGGAAGGGGTGGCGCAGGTGGGCTCCCGGGGGCGGGTGGTGCCGCTTGAAACGCTTCCTGCGCCGGAGAAAGCTGCCGTTGTCGAACATGTCCTGGGAGGCGGGGTCCAGGCTCCAGTAGTTGCCCTTGCCCGGGTGGCCCGGCTCGCGGGGGATCTTGACGAAGCAGTCGTTGAGCGAGAGGTTGTGGCGGATGCTGTTCTGCCAGGCGGGGAACCTGCGGCGGTAGTAGGGGAAGCGGCCGCTGATGAAGGCGCAGATGCCGCTGAGCGTGAGGCGCTTGTGCGGGCTCTGCAGGATGGCCATGGTGATGAGCGCGATGTACGAGTACGGGGGCTTCGCCAGCGGAGGGGCGTCCCCGGACGACGCCGCAGACATCGTCGGCGCCTTGAAATTGGTGCCAAACTCAGAGCGGTCGCTCGGGTCGCCGCCGCCCCCGGCGCGCAGTCCGGGAAGCGCGCCCGCGCCCCGCCGCGCCCCCTGCGGCCCGGGCTGGTGCGGCGGCTCTAGGAACTGCTGGCTCGCCTCTGCCTGCTCGTCTTCCTCCTCCTCCCCTTCATCTGCCTCCTCTCCCAGAACATCGATCTTACCGTCTTCGCCGTCGCAGCCCCAGAGGCTGCGCTGCCGCGTGGAGCGAGGACGCTCGGCTCTTGGCAAGTTCATGGAGGAGCAGGTCCAGCAGACTTGGGGGAGGTGGCGGCCGCCCACCTGGCCTGGGGTGGGCTGGGATAGAAGCCTGGGACGAGATGCGGGAGCGCTGTTGGTTATCCTTTTAGATGCTTCCCTGGCTTCTTCCTCCTCCTTTCCAACACTGTCCGGCAAAGGTGTACTTTGCCTCTTACGAAAGCTTCTTCGAGCCCCTGTGTGGTGGATGCCCCCTTTATACCTCTTCTTACCCTACCTCGCAGCGGTGCCACTTCCTCCCGACGCATCCAATAGTGAGGGTCAGCTGCGCAAACACCCCACCCGGGAAGAGCCCTCAGCACCCCCTCCTAGCCCCCACCCGCCACCAAGGAAGATGCTGGGCTCTTAGGGCTGACCAAGCCAGTTGCCCCGTCTCTGCATGAGCTCTGTTAATGCTCTTTTAAAACCACAGAAATTAAAACGAGGTGGGAAAATATGATACTCAATAATCTATGGCCACCTCGACATGCGGCTTTCTCTCCCAGAGAATAGAAATAGAGGGGGGCACTGAAATGTATACTGCGTTTGTAAAAGAATGTGTAAGAGTAAAGCATGTTTTCGTGTTTCATAGCTGGGCAATTATTCACTTTCATTGGTTAAATCTGCCCTCTTTGAGAATGGTGGGCTGAATTATTTTTAATGTTTTGACTGTATCCCTGGGCTCAAGGCGGGTGTCAGGGAGGTGTTGCATTGTCGCTACTACCCTCCTCCCCAAAATGGTCTCCATGACTCAAATTTTAAGAAAAGCCAGAAATATCCTAGCATTAAATTGTGGAAATTCAGGATGGAGGGCAGGCTGGAGGGCTAAAGAGGAATCTTCTAGCTCACTACAGCAGTGATTCTGCAACTTCTTTGAACATTTAACCACAATAACAAATACATTTTATACCACGATCTTGCACATACCTACTTAAATGGATTCCACAAAACAATATACTTACACTGCAGGGATCACTGATATTTTTTTTTCCTTTTCATAAATGGCCACAACCAGCTAAGTTGATTTAGCCGCATACTAACCAGTATAGGTCCTGTTTGAAAAATCCTGTTTTCACAAAGTGGCCCTACATAGAAGGGATGCCCCCAGTCTATGAGAGGGCTCTCTCTCTCTCTCCCAGCCCTTCCTTCCTTCTTTTCAGAAATGCCAACATTAAGCATTTTTACTGTAATAATAAAACCTGGAACTTCCTTGAGGCAAAGGATGGGCTAGTGTCAATGGCATTAAATCACTGGGTCATCATTCAGTATCCACACTGGAGAGCAGCACTATGACAACAGCTGTTTAACTCACTCACCTGAGTGGACTCTGAAACACTTCCTGTGCCAGAGAAAGCATTTTGAACATAACAAGATTTTTATTTATTTTTAATTTTTTTAGTAACAAGACTTTTAGATTGGCTTCATTTAAATTAGCTCAGAGACTAAAGTAACATTACAATGAAATATAATTATATATAACTAAATACAAAGCCACAGTATATATTCATAACTTAAAGCCCACCTACTTGGGAAAAATTTGAGGTGGCATATCATAAAAATGCAGCATAAAAGATTATATTAAGCCATTGATTGTCAGTTACATAGTGTTTATAAAATGACAATTTTCAGTGAGAAATCAGAAACCAACCACATGGGCAAAATAAAACCAAAAGTAGTTTAAAGTAGCTAGTGGCTTCAGGCTAAAATTTGAAAAACAGCTTTCTTGCAAATCTTTTTTTAAACCTTATCCTCTCTACTCCTGAGGTTTTTATTCTCCACGGCTCCCTAGTTTATATGTAGCTTGGAGGACAAATGCTAGGTTTTAAGCCTAACAGATTTGTGTTTGAATTCCAAATTTACCAATAACTACTTGTGTGATCTACTAAAAGAAGCTCCAGGAGGGCCAGGACAGGTGTCTTATTCAGCCTTATAATCCCAGATGCCTCCCCCCAAACCCCCTGCAGGTGAGGCACGCCTGTCTTCCATCAGTTTAGGAATCCAATTACCTGGGAAAAGGAGTATTGTTAGTTTTCCTAGAGTCAACTTCTATAGGGATTTGGGTTATTTAAAAATGAAAGGAGAAAAGTGCCCAAAAACAAAACCAAGAAATCCTCACATTGATGGAGGCATGTCAAAGGGCCACAGGACACAACTGAAAGAGTGACCAGTGGCCCAAGCTGGGACAATTTGAGCAAAATAAAGCAGTATTGGAGTATAACCCAAGGTATAAAATATCTGTGTCCACACAGATAAACATAAATGATTGGGTCAATAAATAGAAGGAAATACACAAAATCCTTTGAAGAATTCCAAATAAATTAATCACCCTCAAGGAGGTAGAGCATAACTCCCCAATACTTTGGTGCAGGATGTACATAGTGATTTCCTTGCAAGAGTACAGTATGAAAAGGGTACAGAGGAGTAACTTTACAGTGGAGAAACCTGACAAACACTACTTCAGATAGGTGGGCAGGTGATCAAGGTCAACATCAACAGTCATAAATTATGTTGATATTATATACCCTTGGTATGATGTGATGAAAATGACACTTTGTGATTGTCCTCCCCAAATCCCCAGTCTAACCATAAGAAAAACATCAGAAAAATTCTAATAAAGGAACATCTGTGTACCTGACCAGTACTCCTCAAAAATGGTCAAGGTCATCAAAACAAGGACAGTCTAAGAAACATCACAGCCAAGAGGAATCTAAGGAAAATGAATACTAAATGTAATGTGGTACCTTGGATGGCATTCTGGAAAAGAAAATTAGTTAAAAACTAAGGATATCTGATTAAACTAATAATATATCAATACTGGTTCACTAATTGTAACAATTATACCATACTATTGTAAGATGTTAGTTAGCGTGGGGGGATATGGGAACTCTGTAAATCTAAAACTGTTCTAAAAAATATATTCTATTAATTTAAAAAATTAAAAATAGGGGGGGAAGGGCCAATGGTCAAAAAGTGGAAACTCAAATGCCCAACAACTGATAAATAGGTAAACAAAATGTGATATATCCATACAATGAAAGACTATTCAGCAATAAAAATGAATGAAGTACTGATACATGGATGAACCTTGAAAATATTACATTATGTGAGGAGTCTAAACAAGCAAATCTATAGAGACAGAAAGTAGATTAGGGGCCTGGGGCCAGGGGGAAGTGGGAAGTAACTGCTAATGGATATAGGCTTTTTTAAGGTGATGAAAATGTTCTGGAATTAAATACTGATAATAGTTGTCTAACTATGTATATACTAAAAACCATGAATTGTACACTTTTAAAAAGGGTAAATTTTATGGTATGTGAATTATATCTAAATAAAGTTTTTATACCAAATATGTCAATGTAAAAACAAAGAGCTATGGCAATGAAAACTAGGTTGAATGTTTTAGAAAGACTCCAAATAATGGAACCTCACTCTAAATGAGGAAAAAGAAAAAGAATGGAACTCTTACCGTCCTGTCTCATCTATTCATCAGTGTTGACTTAAGAATCAAGTCTGTCTTTGCAGCTCCCGAGACATTTAACATGGGACCTTGGTGCATGGTGGGTTTTCAATAATGTTTGGTGATTACTTCTTTCCTAAGGCTGAATAGTTTGTTTTTGTTTGTCTGTTTGGGATTTTTTCCCCTAGAAGTATCAGGGGCTCATCAACTGGCATCATAAGATGCCATCCTAGTTTGAAAAATAAACCTTTCTAAACTAATCTACAGGAAAGATGGTAATATCTGGTTTTTCTTTATTTCAACCTAAAAATTAAAGGTACTTGATCATCAATAGAGTTAAAAGTAAGGTTGATTCTAATATTAAGACTAATTCTGAGAAAAGAACTCTAGCATATCCTTCTTTCTCATCAAAGTACAGTGAGTTGCCAGATATTCAACGGCAGAATTCACTTCTTTCCACATCATCCCTACTAATTTTAGAGCTGGGAAAGTCATTCCAAAGCAATCTAAAGTTTTCCCACCTATACCAGTGATCCAAAGGAAACAATTCTTCAATTCATAGAAAGCAACCAAGCTTATAATGTTCCAAAGTATTGATCATCATTGTTTTAAAAGCCTTTAGCTTTATTTTATTGATTACTGCCTCACAAAATTCATAATCTAGGGATTATAACCTCTAGGAAGAAAGATATTTTTTATTCTCAACTTCTACTTAAGTCTATAAGAAGACTTTTTAAAAATCAAGATATTGTATATCTATCTGAAGCAAACAATCAGAAAAAGAACTCTGGGTAGCATGGAAGGAAGATAATTAAAGTCTCTTCAAGTGCAAATCTGCTTAGGAGTCTAACAAGAGGAAGTGAGCTATTTGGAGGGTTTTTCCTAAATCATACATTATTGATAGCCACCAAAAGAAAAACCAAAGGCATCAAGCTCTTTTACCAAGTTGACCCTTTCAATTACCTGGTCTACTCTCACAACTTGTGCTAACACTCTCTGCAGCTATCTTTAACTCACTACCGATTTTCTTACCCCTTTCACTCACAGCTGGAGCAAGTCTCAGAAACAATCATTTGTTTTAAGGTGTGCAGAAGTTTTAAGGTGTGAATTGTATATCAAGCCTTGCTGGAAAAGCCAAAGTCACACACATTGAGACTCTGTATTCAGGGTGCTTTAAATCTAATCCCTGGAACAATTCAGAGAGATTTCATTGTTATCTCCATTTCATGAATAAGGAGGCAGAGGCTCAGAGAGATTTAGTAATTTATCCTGTGTTCCTCTGTAAACTATAAAAGTTTTAGATGAACCTTGATCATCATTATCATCATAATACCTTGTAAGTCTTCTATAGCAAGCAGAATAATGGCCCACATTATTATTATTACATTATAAAAATAAAACTTTCTCTTCAGGATATCTATAGCAAGTTCCAAAGTCACCTGAAAGTACAGTTTAAATAAACTATGGCACTGATCATTGAAAAATACTTCATTTTGGGAAAGAATAAAGAATAATACAATGCACCCTTAAAAATATATAAACAATATAAAAATACAGTTTAAAATCCAAAACAAAACAGTGAGATCTAGATTGGTACAAGTTAAAATATGTCAATTAGGTTTGGGAATGGGTACTTTCATACACCCATGAAGGCAAATGGTAGAGTCATTTGGAAGGGCAGTTTATCAGTATCTATTAAAAATTGTCAGTATGCAAATCTTAGAAGCTAAAGATTCCACTCATGTATCTGTTCTAGAGAAACATTCACACATAAGGGCAAAGAGGCATATACAATGATGTTCATTGCAGCACTGTTTGCAATGTCAGAAACTAGTTCGTCTGCTGCAGCCATTACACTCACATCCCTTCTCCAGCTTAAAACCCTTCAGGGGTCACTTCCCAAGGTATTAAGAATAATCCACACATTTACTCTGTCCTACAAGGAGCAACAAACCTGGCCTGGTTCACAACTCCAATTTCATCTCATACCTTTGCTTTCTAACCTTCCACCACTGTTACCTTCTTCCTGGTCTGCCAACACACCATGCTGGTGCCTACCTAAGGTGCCTTTGCACTATTTGCTCCGTCTATATAGAGACTTCTTCTCCACTTTATACGATGACTCCTTCTTTTAATTTGGTTCTCATCATAAAGGCCTTCCACGACCACTTAAGTCTAAAGTTGTTCTTTATTTTTATCAGCCTGCGTAGGGTTGCCTCCTATTTTCCATTTATTTGTGTCCCTCCACCAGAATGTAAACAATATGAGAACCTGGTCTTCATCTGTTGTGTGCAATGTCAGCCTCTGCACTAATACATGTGCAGACTGGAAGCTCTCAATAAATATTTTTGTTAAATCAATGTATTCTATGCTAAACTATGAATTTTTATACAGCAAAGAATAAAAGATGTATATATACTGTCATGGAAAGATCTAAGACTAATTGTTGAGTATGTTTTCTTTTTTAAGCAAACTGCATTATAATATATAAAAAAAGAAGTTTTAACACATACATGCACATTATAAAAATAAAACCTTCCCTTAAAGATATATATGGCAGGTTTCTAAGTTTTCTGAAGCAGCAGCTTAAGCTATGGCTCTGATCACTGGAAAATAATTCACTTTGGGAAACATAACATGTAAGTGAAAGTAAATATCTGAAAAGGTAAAACATTGGTTTAGCCCTCAGAAGTGACAGGAATTAAAGGAGAAGGGTCAGGGAAGACTGACTTCATCTGTACTATTGCATTTTTATAACAAAAATGTATTCATACATTACTTGCATAGTAAAAAATATTTAAAGATAAATACATTTTAGAAGAAAAAATGAGTTGTATAAATGCAGATTTTATATTATAAAATGTTTGAAATAACATTAATCTATATTTGCAAATATATTTATAAATAATGTAGATTAATAATATATTAATATTATTTCAAACATTTCTCCCACAACAAGACAACTAATTATAAGCCCTTTTTCATGGTCTGGAACAGATAGGTCTAGACACTTAATTTGCCAAAGAACAGTATTAAGTATTATTGGGAGCACATTAATTATAAAACAAATTTAAATTATTATGAAGAAGAAAACATTTACTCAGGCTCTGCTATGTGCTAGGAGCCAAGCTGGATGTATTAAAAACCCAATTAATCCTGGTTGATATTACCACTATCTACTTTATAAATAAGGAAACTAATCTCAGAGTAAATATAAATACTTTGCCCAAGATTACACAGCCAAGAAACCGAAAAGCTGGAATTAAAACCCACATCTGACTCGAAAATCAGCTGACTTTCTATTAGGCAATTTGCTGTCACAAAATAACTGTATTCTCTCAACCATGAACTAAGAGAATGGATTCCAGAGGCAACTGGATGACTACAGAGAAGTTATATTAAAAAGGTATAGAATAGAAGGGAAGGAAGATCAGCATTATCAAACTCATTGGTAGACCCAAAAGAATATAACAGCAATAACCAACTTGAGATAATTTAACCAATTAGACTTCTACCTCCAACTACTGAAATCATTCAAAATACACAGATATAACTCCTTTATTCAATATTCTAAGGAAAAAATTCCAAAAGCCATTTTGATAACCTTCTCTGACATTTAACAACCATTAGTTTGGAAAAGCTCTTTTTAAAATTCTATTTATGCTTTTCTCTTATAATTTGAGTGTAGTTATGCTGACCTGCCCTTTAGTTGGAATAGGGAAAAAAGTGAGCCACTGTACACTGACACACCAATCATTTATGTAAAGATTGTTAAATTATCAAAAGATATCTGTAATTATAGCTGAAGTCTCATACCTCATCACTTTTTAGCTTATATTGAAAACTAAAAAAGTTCAGGAAAAAACAAGATGAATTTAATACCACTAGTAAAATCTACTTAAAACTCAAAGCTCTACAGCTTTGGAATCTTTTAAATATATTCTAAAATAAATGGCTAAAGTTTCATTACACTGACTTTCAATAAATCTTAGCATTGATTAAGAATAGAGAGAGAGAGTTTAATTTCTTTGACTCGGATTTCTTCCATTTTTATGTCTCTAGCCGCAACAAACCTTTTATTTCATTTAATAAAAATAGTGACAACAATTAAAAAAATTTTGTTAACAACAATATGATCATTATATCTCTGCAATCTGCTGAAGTTATAAGAGAAAATGACAACGTTGAAGAAAGTTTTACCATTATTATTATAAACAATTTTCATGGGCAAGAAATTCAGCATATGTAAAATCTAAAGCCAATTTTGAAAGATATTTTTGGGAAACATCTGTCTCAAAAAAAAAAAAACTGCAGAGGCTATTATATTAATATTTTATTGCATGAATGTAAAATGTTTTACAGTACTAATTTACTAAATTTTATGTATTCTATAAAATAAATACTATTTTTAAAGCATACTTCTGTTAGAATTCACAACAGAAGTAATGAAAAGAATAGATGCTTGAAATACTCCCAGTAGGAAACTTATTCTCATTTTTCTCATTAATCCTTTTGATAAGAAACGCTTCTAGTATTATGGACAAACTCGATCTTCTTTGATATGTGTTGTCCACTGCTTTTCTCTTTCTGTCACAGTAGCTATAAATAGCTGTTTAAGGATATCCTTATCTAAATTTCTGCCTGCAAACAAAACAAAATATAGTGTGATTATATTATGCTTATTAACATGTAACAGTTCACCCAAAACTTTAAGATCTTTAAATGCTTCATCTTCAGAAATTTACAAGAATAACAGTAATTGAGTGATTCCTTCTTTTATTTTCTAGTTAATTCCCTCAAAACCAAATTGGTGCGTGGATGAATCACTTTTCTGAAATTGTTTGAAAAAGAATAAAAGGCCTAACAAGTTCTTAAGAATGTTATCACATGATAATGACAAATACATTAACCCCAAATTTATTTAGTTACAAAACGGCAGCTGATTGGTTAATGCTGTTAAGGAGCACATTATATCCCTTTCAAATCTATTTTTTACTTTTCTTTAGGAATTTAACCCTTTGTCACTTACCAATAAAGACCAATCGATTTGTTCTCTCAGTGTCATCTTTCCAGCTCACTGGAGTCTCCTCCAGATCATAGAGCTCGTGTACACCTTGAACAATCACTTGCTGTGGTTTGTCTTTGATTGACACCAGCCCCTGCTTACAGAAGTGATTGATCATTAATCAGCTTCAACTTGAATTTAAGAACAGAAATGAAGCATCAATGTTAACTGATTATTGCTATTCATTTTCAAAATAAAAACTGATATAAAGATGCTGTGAAAATTGCTTAATTCCAATTATTAATATTTGTGCATAAAAAAGTTTAAAACTTTCAATTTTAAAAAAAAGCTTCTGTGTGATTTTTTTAAACAATCCTTTTTTGTAATAATAAAATTAAGACATATATATGTTAGGATGTTCTTTCAATGTTATTTATCACAACCAAAACCTGAAACAACAAAATGACAAAACATACTGTGTATCATATCCTACTGATTACTTTAACTTTTAAGGATTTTAAACTTGTTTCACAGTTTTAGTGGGAAAATTCAAGAAGGTATTTTAGTGATATTAAATAATTTGTTTTAAGCATCTATTGTAATCAATGGAGTGGATGATGAAATAAAGGAAAAGAAAATTATATTTATCTTGATAAAAGTTCATTTTGTATTGATTTGCAAAAATAAGGACCAAATTGTCTGATAAACTGGCTCCTATGGGGATAAAGTAAATTTCTGAAATAATGTTTGTTATACATTCTTATTATAAAATATATATATTTAAAAATAGTAGGAAACAAACCACTCCTAGTCATTCCCACCACACAATTTTTGTGTAGTTTTGGAATATTTGTGTATTTTCTTCCAGTTTTTCTTTTCCTATGCCCAGTTTTGTGTTCTGCTCTTCAGGTTCGAATTTTTGTAATAAACTCCTTGGAAAGAATTACACAAGCATCAATTTTGTGTTTCTTGTATAAAGATTTTGAGGCATTGGCAGCTGTTACTAAAGTTAACATTTTAAACACTTTGATGATTATAATAAGATTAATACTTTGTAACAGGAAAGAGAAGGAAGGCTATGAAGATAGAATATTTTGCCCCAGAATCTCAGTGTTGTGATGAGTGAAAGAAAGACTAAAAGAAAAACCAGAGAGGACAACTGCAGAAAATGTGTCACATATATAAGGACAAAATCAAAACTGCAATGGTACGAGGCAAGCCACTGAACTTTCTGCAGAGGTATTGTGGCGGCATTAGTGTAAATGCCCAAGGTCCTGCTTTTCTATATAACCAGCTTCCGTTCAGTACTAGGGGATAAAAACAGTTACAGAATATGTTCTTGATATCATGGAATATAGATAGTTTAACAGGCATAAAGTAGCAGCAGGATCTGGCTTAGTTCCTCTGAGTGGGAAGTGATTTGGAGGTAGACTTAGATTCACCTGTTTTTCTCTGCAGAGCTGATCTCAGGTATAGCCAGGACAGGGAGTGAAGAAACTTAAATCTAAATATTAATAGTTTCTTGATAGTCTCAACCTCTGTCATTCTAGTGACCCTAGGAAGTCAGTTGCTAATTGGACAGAGAATCTACTAACAGTAATAATAATAAACAGTACTAACAAAAACTTTATGTGCACTTTGGATACACAAGAGTAAACACTCAAATGACTGCTAACTGGTTAAGCACACACCCAAAGACACTGTCTCCTGGAGAAAACACCTCTCACTACATAAATACCCAAATGTCAAAAAATATGAATGGATTTCTAAACACAGATCAAGAACTTTTCTAGTCCTTTGTAACTTTGAGAGTATAACAAATGTTTAGTGTTTATTAAATGCATCAGGAAGCATAATGTTCAGCAGCAGGATTTTCAACATTATTTTTCTGTTAATGAAACACTCCTGGAAAAATAGTTTTCCCTAAGTGACCAATCTGTGTGCCAAGAGGAGAAGAGAGTTTCAATAGAGTCAAGCTCATCAGCCAGAGGAGTAGAGAGCAGGGAACCATTTCAAAGCACACAGGTTGTTTTAGCTGCAACAGTAAATGAAGCTGTGCACTTAAATCATACTTTGTGCAATGATTTCCAAACTTCCTTTTCAGCAATGGAAATGATAAAGAAAAATGGAAGCAGCCAGGCGCGGTGGCTCACGCCTGTAATCCTAGCACTCTGGGAGGCTGAGGTGGGCAGATCGCTCAAGGTCAGGAGTTTGAAACCAGCCTGAGCAAGAACAAGACCCCATCTCTACTATAAATAGAAAGAAATTAATTGGCCAACTAAAATATATAGAAAAAATCAGCCGGGCATGGTGGCACATGCCTGTAGTCCCAGGAGGCCTGTACTCAGGAGGCTGAGGCAGTAGGATCGTTTGAACCCGGGAGTTTGAGGTTGCTGTGAGCTAGGCTGACGCCATGGCACTCACTCTAGCCTGGGCAACAAAGTGAGACTCTGTCTCAAAAAAAAAAGAAAAGAAAAATGGAAGTTGATAAAGGTTATTTTTATTAAAACTTGTGTTTCTGTTTAAAGCCAAATGCAGTTTTCATATTAAATATAATAGCCAAGACAAGGATTTTGTCCAAAAGTCTACAACAGTAAACTGCATACTGCACCTTTAGCCGTATGACCTCCATGCAGTGATCGTCCTTGTTTCTCACATTCTTTTCCCACAGGAGATTCTGCATCAAGTGACATATTTTAATAAGACCAACCATTGCTAATAGCAACAAGTATGTAACAAAACAGTTGATAAATCATTAATCAGTTAAAAATTGCTTTCACCTGAATAAATACATTTAGACTTTCTTCCTTTGCATTTCCTGGTACTTCAAATGTGACTGTAACAATACTCTGTAAATCAAGAGAAATAATAATAACATTTTTATAGGAATGTCAATATATTTTTTAAAATCACAAGTTTTAACATGAAAAGGAAAATATTCATAGAATTTTATGTTGTCTAACAATAAATACGAAGTATTACATTTTTCTCACAGTATGTGCTGATTTTTGGAGTTAGCAACTTCATTTTCTATATTCTGCAGAGTTGATCAATGGTTTAATATTTACACAAAATGCTATTTTGTGTTAAAAAAATTACACAAAAACTCTCATAAAAGGTTTGCTCACTACTTCATTCTTTCCCAGATTCCCCACAATAAGGAGGAATGTAACATATGTAGCATCCTGACTACAGACTGAGCCAGGCACTTTTGCCTGAGTCACCTCATTTCATCTTTTCATCTACTCTTTCCAACAGTCTTGAGAGTAGAGATAACTATTTCCATTGTATAAACTGGGGAAAATGAAGCTCAAAAAAATAAAAAAATAAAAACTCATTCAAGAGGTGCCTTCCCTACACCCAGAAGAAATGAACATCCTTATCTCTGAAGACAAAGGGTCACAGAGAAGAATCTGAACAAACAGGCCTTGCTAAGTTCCTCCCAGTTTATTATCATTAGATCATACTTTTTATCCAATTATATTTCTCCATGACTCTCCACTTCTATATCATAGCTAGCATAAAAATACACAGGTTAACCATTTTGTTAGGTCTTCACTTCCTTATGAAGGTTCTTATGTCTTTTACAAACTTAATAAGTGTGTATGCTTTTCTCTTGTTAATCTTTCATCTATTATAGGGACTTTTGCCATGAATCTACTGGTGGGTAAGGAAAAGATATATTTCCTCCTTTACACCTCAGATCCACTAAACCAAATGAGACGCAATTCATGCCTCTGAATCCTGTAGCCCTTTGTTTCTGATATATTTTGCCCTAAGTTTATAAACTAAAGCAGGAAAGTGCATCAGAATCTCCCAGAGCTTAAAAAAAGATAGACATGCCCTATTTACTGGTGAAATGACATAATGTCTAGGCTTTAATACACTTCTGCAAGGGTGATAGAGGTTTGTTATACTAGTCTACTTTTATGTATATCTGAAATTTTCTATTAAAAAAGTTTTTTTTTAATACTCCAGCAAAAGAAATGTTGGGAGGATTGATGAAAAAAATTGGCAAAATGTCAATATCATTTAAACCAGATGATGCATACAAAGAGCTCATTTTACTGTTCTCTTCACTTTTGCATATCTTTGAAAATTTTCATAATAAAATGTTAAAAATACACATCAATATGCACACACCCAAGCCCCAATCCTGGAGACTGAGGGCTAGGAACTACTGAGCATCCAATTTTCTTTTTACAAAAAGCTCCACAAGTGATTCTGATTTATACTCCCCTTTGAGAATCACAGCTTTTCATTCTTTTAACAAATATACACTGAGCACCTACCATATACTAAGCTCTGTGCTAAGCAATAAGGAATTTATAAACTGATGCAAGGGAAAAGCATTTCAACCCAAACCATAAGCCATTATATATGCCATGACAGGGGTACATTCAAAATACTAGGGTTGTAGATAAATGTTCTTGTGAGCACATTTTCTTCATCTTTTAACTCCTATGACTCCCACTATGATGTCCTTTATTAGAAGAATGTGTTTCAAGTTCATCTTTATGACTGATATTGAGTATCATAAACAGCTGGTTTTTCCAAAACAATCTACCTCTGTGGACTTGTATTTCTCTCATTCACTCATTTTAAAGATAAGTTAAGGTGAATATCCTATTAACATAAGTTTCTCAGAGAAAGGTGCCAAAAAAACATGGTAGTATAGCTCCCCATAAATAAGAGCCAAAATGAAGACAAATGAACAAGCGGCTGCTGTTATCTTGGCCCTATCACGACTGATATTGATTCAAGATCTAATTGATTGCTTCCAGAGGAGGGAAGACAAGGCACACTACTCACTCACACAACCCCCAGCCCCAGGTTTTAAATGGAACAAAGAAGTTTCTAAAGCTCTATCATCTATGACCTACTTAACAGAAACATGGGTACAAGGAAAATACAACTAGTTTGTTCTTAGCATCTTACATATTTAACTAAGAGATTAGAATTTTAGAAGCTGAAAGACACCTTAAGGAGTTCAAATTTACAGTGCTACCATTAAGGTGAAACTCAAAGTCAATTTTTATTTAAATAAGCCATGCTTATATCAGACTTTTACTTAATCAGTTAGTTAAACATAGTTAAAAACAGACTACCAGGATGCATTTAAATAGTAATTCCCATCGGAAGAACTGATCAAAATATGCTGAATGATCTACAGAATGAAGAAGCTAGAAATCATGATTTCCTAAGAGTCTAAACAACTCTGATTTGATGAATTCCTATTATGTTTTAAGAAGCTGTATCAGATGATCTCAAAAGCATTCAAAATTCTGAAAATTATCAACACAGTTCAAAAATACCATTTTAGAAGGAGCTCTAATAAAATAGTCCTAAACATAGCCAACTTAGTTAAAAGGAATACTTTAGAAACATTTTTAAATATTTTTTTACCTGATCAAGGTGAGGTTGTGTTGCTGGCACATGTTGAAGTTTTTTCTGCAAACTAGGAACAACTGATTATAAATTCACAGATCCATACACTTCTGATTTAACTTTATACATTACTAAGCAACACAAAGCTAAATAAGAAAGAGATTTTCCATAATTGAATCTATTCCACAGTTCCAATTTTACATTTTGTTCACATATTCTAATAGAGAAAACCTAGAAGACTAAGTTTAAAAATTTCTTGCAAATGCACACACATTCATATACATACATATACGTACAACAAAGAGAAAAACTACTCTTTTAGCAACATTATTTTGTGTGGTTCAATATGTCAACAGATTTCTTTATAATTCCAATAGGTCTTACACAGGAGTAGAAAAATATATATAACCATTTCAACATTGCTCAGTTTCTTAACTCCCCCCACACTTCCTAATACAAAAACACTGGCACCTAACAAAAGAAGAGTAAATTTTACTTTATCAGTGTTTTTCCTTGAACATATGTACTTATTTAGAAAATAGTATCCATAAATATTAATCTTGTATGTAGTCAGTTACTGGCTGAGAAAAAACAGAAAGTCAGAATCTTAAAAATGCATTGTTCTGATACGAAAAGAGCAAGATCAATATGGCATAACAAATTACAACCATAACAACTGTAGCGTACATTTAGACACTGATGGGGATAAGATGGGAGACAGAAAGGGACTTAAAACCTTGCAGATGTTTTGCCTTGAAGAACAGTGAGGGGTAAATTAGTAACAGCGAGTTTGGGAAAGAGAAAGGGCTTGTAGGAACTGTTGGAGGGAATGAGTCTCATTGGGGGGTCATAGTAGGGAGAGTGTCAAATTAAATCCTTCCCAGCTGGTTGCTGAGGAACAGAGTCTCCGTTTAGCAGCTAAGCACCAAAAAAAGTTATGCAAAGGCCTTATCTATAGTGGTGGGATCACATTAAATAGCAACATTTTTAAGTGTCACTAAAGCATTATAACTGCTCTTAATCAAGTGTAGAATATTCATTCTACTTAAGTAAATCTTTGAAAAATCATATGCTTTTTCCGTATGTTCAATATTTAATGTTGTTGGACAATGACTGCCCAAATTTTCATATGCAAGCAAAAAGTCAAAAATCTAAGAATGAACATTTACGTTTAGTTCCTACTAAGTCTCAGGATTTTATGCCCTTAAATTTGCTATCATACAAATAAAAAAAAAGTTTAATTTAGTTTAGTGGACAAGCATAAGCATATGCTACCAAAACCTTAAATTCATGAATCAGAATCCCTATTTTACACATTAACTTGTAATCTTGAAACAATTTTAGTCTCTACACTAATGAAGTGTATAAATCTAAAATAGTTTTATGTTTTATAAACCATTATGTTCTGTAAAAAAACAATAATTTTGTTAGTGTCACAGTAAGATGGAACTAGCAACATTTCTATTTTTCCAAGTAAAAATACAGAATGATATAAAGAACTGGAAGCTTTGATGAAAGTATCTTTATTACAGCAAATTATAGCAAAAGACTTAAGTAAAAAAGAAAAACAAAAATTGAGACACTAAATACCAAAGTGGGAAATATTTTCATATTATAACTCTTATTTTAGGAATAAAATACTAAAGGATATAATACATGAAGGAAAAAAACAAAGATTTCAACAAAGAAATATTTTAGTGTTTTACACATTAAATGGCAACCAACTTGCAAGCTCTTAGACCTAACCAAGATAAATTAAAGCAAGTTTCCACATAGCACTGTTTCATTGTTTCCCTTGTAAAAATATTTAAATGTATCACAGGATTTATAACCATCAAAACCACCTACAGCCTCAAATAAATTAATATAGCTCCAAGCCAATTGTGGAGGATGAGAGAAAGGGAGCATGGCTAACTGGTGAAACAGCATTAAATACTCAGATGAAATGTACTGGAGCCTTGAAGTAAAAAGAAGAAAAGGATCAGCAAGATAAAGGTTAGGATGGGCTAGACTTCTCATCCTTGCAGAAATGGGTAGCAAAAGACAAAGGCTCTTATATGCCTAGACTTAGATGACAGCCTCAGCCAATCTATCTCCCTAGAAAAGACAGCACTAAAAAGGGAAAAAAGAACATTTTAAAATAACCAAACCAAGTTTATGCTTAGGGCCATATTCATTTAACGGGGTGAAAGCGTTTCATTTCAGAATTAGAAGTACAAAAGCTTTGCGTGAAAAAACTTAGTATAATTCTGAATGATTTTCGTACTACACAATCATTATCAAGCATAAATGACACTGGGTACCTGAAGTTGACATGAGGGAAAATGGTTCAGGGTGCTGAAAGGAGATTTCACAACTGTGTACAGGAGTGGACTGAAAAGATATAACTATTTCTACTACAATTTTCTTTGACCTTATATAAGAATCTTTTTAAAAAACAAATCGCTCATATGTAATTCAGGTATACTAAACTTGCTGCCTTCCCACTAACTGGGACTAGAAAGGCAAATGTTAATTTCTTCCAGGTACCCTGGAAGTATCTTTGTAATTTCAACTTGTTATTCATTTGCTCTAAAAAGGTACTGCTCCAACACCAGAGGCTACAGGTGAAATAAATAGTTCTCAACTGAAGACTTAGCTCCTATTATAGAATGACTCTGTCACTTACAAATTCACTCTGAGACTAAGTTTCCAAAATGCGAAGGAGGAGATAACCGCCCTGTCTATCCCATACCTCTAGGTGCTGAAATAATCTCAATTTTTTTAATAAACTAAATGTGAATTTAAACTCTCCAATTTACAACATAAAAGAGGTCAAATAAAACACTATCATGCCCTATTCTTGCAAGTTAATTTAGATGCTATTTTTGAAATGTGAACAATACTAAAGACTGAGGAGGAAAATATCAGTTGAAAATAGAATTAATTTTTAAAGGCATAGCTAAGGCAAAATTAGAATTATATATATGAATGGGAATTAGAAGTCTCAAGTATAGAACCACTCACCATGCTAACCCTTAAGCAAAACTGCTTCAACAATTTAAAATACCCAGAGAGGTGTCCATTTTCATGAGTTTGTATGGACATATATCAAACTTGAAAAGATACTCATTGCAGCATTATTTTTAAGAGCCAAGATGTGGAAACAAACTAAATTTCCACCGACAGATAAATGGATAAAGTAAACATGGTATATACACAACATGGAATATTATCCAGCCTTAAAAAAGGAAACCCTGATATAAAGTATAAAATTTCAGTTACATAAGATTAGTAAGTTCTAGAAATCTGCTGTCTGTACATCATAATGCCTATAGTTAAAAATACTGTATTGTACACTTAAAAATTTAAAAGAGTAGATCTCATGTTAAATATTCTTACCACAATTAAAAGATCCCCCCAACAAGAAAGAAAAAATTGATCCATCATTAATGGGAAGAGAGTTACTTGTGTGAACACACTAAGCTAAAATTGTCTAAATATTTCATGCATTTTCCCACAGAAAGAATATTATACATAGTGGTTGGTATAAAATATTAGCAATTAGTCTCTAAAGTTAACTATCATTTATACTATAATTTCTATAGAAAAATGCATTATGATTTCCAAACAACCAATTAACAAACTTTCAAGAACATAACTAACAATGGTCTTGTATGCCAAAGGAATGGACAGTAAGCTTAAATTATGGGTGCAATTGTGTAAATCATTCCCATAACTGTGGAATAAAAGGTACATTACAATACAAGTGACAAAATAGAGAAGACATACCTTATTCCAGACAGACTGTCAAAAGCATGAAGATCTAATACATTAGACAGATCAACTCTAAAAGAAAACCAATGTGAACAGTTGGAAATTCTGTAAAATACATCCAATTAATCAAGAATATTCTTGACTCAAAACTTTTTATACATAAAATTTGTAAGTATAAGATCAAGGCAAAAAATTACGTAGTTATTGCTTCAACGAGCTCTAGTGGTTTTTGTTGTTTGCTTTTAACTTTTAATTATCTTTTCAATCATGAAATTTATGAGCTTTTCAAATACACTTTTATAACAACCACAACAACAAAAAAAAAACAGCTAAAAAACCAAAACGTTTCCAAGCAGCTCATTACCGTGTTTTCCCGAAAATAAGACCTACCCATAAAATAAGCCCTAGCAGGATTTCTAAGCATTTGTGCAATATAAGCCCTCGCCCTAAATAAGCCCTAGTGACGGGTGTGGCTACACAGCACATTTGCACAACCCATGCATTTCCTCAAGGAGCAGTAAAGACCAGCAGCCCTTCTCATCTGCCCCATGAGAGCTCTATTGCGACATGAGAGACTGGGGCCAATGGTTCTAAAGGAAATAGAGTCGTAAGAAATTCAGAATGTAATTCGGGGTTTGGAAAGTTATGATGATGTTCCAGAAGAAGACGACTTAACTATATTTCAATAAATGTAGATTGTTTTACCGTACTTAAAAAAAAATAACACATCCCCTGAAAATAAGCCCTAGTGTGTCTTCTTGAGGAAAAATAAGTATAAGACCCTGTCTTATTTTCGGGGAAACACGGTACTTAAAAGATGAAACAAAAGAAATGACAAATGGAAATAAGTTAATAGTATTGGTGGATTCAAATATCTCTGGAATTTTTGTATTTCTTTTACTCTCTCTCTCTCATGATATTACATGTAATATAAAAATATAAGGAGTCAAACCAATGTATAAATATGAAGTCACTCTAAGACCTTTATCAACATGTAGTTTGATTTCATTCATTCAGCATGGGGTTGCATATAGAAAGAAACTTCTCAGAGCTCTCTTTGAACAGACATTATTTCCATCAGAATTACTTAGTGATAATTAACAATTCAAATCAGATGAGAATAGCATATCATAACCAGCATTGGGTTTGGTTTAAACACATACAAGTAATGATTGAGTTCTAATTTTAACATAAGCCCATAAAATAGCACAGGACAGTGATTTCTCCATATTTAAAGCTAAAATTGAGGAATGTTCAAAGAAAACAACAAAAGTATAATTAAGTTTCAAAATTAGACTCCAGGAGCTTTTTAAATTTATTAAATTTTCTTACAAGGGAAACAAAACTTCATTTTTCAGATTCAATATATTTTTTTAATGCCCAACCATGTAAGATAAAATATCTCCTTTAACATGGGACTGACCAGCTGTGCCTGCTTTGTTCATTCTCAGCAGTCCACCACATACTCATATTGTGGCAACAATACTCTGTTGGATTATGGACGCTTATCTTGGCACAAGACAGACAAATTCCCATCTTATTAAAAGAAGAATACTCCAAAGTTCTATGTTATTAGACTGTACCAACACTTCAAATTCTGAACATCCTAGATGTGCAGAATCGGAAAAATGATCAAGCAAAGAAGTAAATGCCCCATGAAGAAATTCTTGAATATCAATTTACACTAAGAGGCCAAACTTTTAACATTAAACATATTTCCTTTTTCTCTCACCCTCACCATGGAGCAAATATTTATATTGACAGATTCACAAATAAATAAAGTTTCTCCCCAAGTTTATCATCTTCACCTTAGTAAATAGCTTAGAGTTTAATAACATTTATTCAGGCCAATTTGGGGAATATCAAATTCAGTTTTGAAACACAAGCTTCTAAATGAACTACTGTTTCACTATAACAGTGTCCTTGAGAATACATGTCATTTATAGATAATTCTACTTTATACCCAGATTCTTTGGTATCTCCAAAACAGAGAGGGTCAATAATAGATCTGTATGACAAATTACACTCTGTAGAGAATAAAATATCAATGTCTTTCACCAAATTCTCAATGGAGAATAAAAGAGAAAAAGTCTAAGCTATCAGATCAAGGTATGAACTATCCCCAAATCTAGTACCACCATGAAAAATAAATTCTTCATTCATTCAAGGCATATTACCAGAAAACTAATTTCCATGGCATCAAATATATTTAACTTTCTCCTTTGGAGATAAAAACATAAAATCTTTCCAAAACACTGAAATAGAAAAAAATAATAATAAAGAGACCATTACTATATTTTTAAAACTGAATATGTGAGTGAAGTAATGAAAAGGAAGAAGAAAAAACTTCAAAAGCTCATTTTTCTCCTACTTTCTTGAACTATCTCTGCCATGAGCATCTAATCTTTTCCCTGTGAAGAGCTACTTTCAATTTTATGTCAAAAGATTGTTTAAGTAGCCTAAGACCAGGGACAGGGGAATGAAAAGGATGAGGGTTTAAGCTCTCCAAGGTGGGGATGGGACCACAGCTTCTACTCTAGGGATATTGCCTAATAGTCTCCTTTTCAAACTCCAATGAGTCTCACAAACAGAGTACACCAGCCAATCCCAGATCTACGAATTGTAGATACTGTCCAATACCTCAGTCCTGAGCTCTAGAACGAAATTTCCTAATGCCTTATCCATTGCTTAAATCCTTAACATGCAATGAAATGCCTAGGAGCCAGTAGAATGTTCAATAAATGGTTCGTTGAATTGATTAACTTATTATTGACCAACTTGGTATTGGTTTTCCTCTGTTCAGTTCACTTAAATTTCTAAATTAAGAAAAAATCTAGAGAAGATAAACATCCTCTTCTACTCTTTCACTGCTACTTCTGAAGTCTATGTGGTCCACTAGAATTTCATTTGCCTCTAAATCAACTTAAGTGTTACCAATAAAACAATGCCACACACTATTTTTATTCCCTAATCTTAAATACTCAAGGTGAGCCTTTTTCTACACATGCTTATAGCAGTTTTTACTACTGTCGGCACTTAACCACAAAATACTAAAAGGATTAAAATTAATAATAATAAAAAAACAAAACTTCTATCACAGTGATTTTAACTATTTTGCTAAGAAGTGAATACTTAGTTTCTAAACAGAGAAGCTCAAGTTGCTATGCCTCAAAGAATTTGGGGGAATTTTTATAGCAGTACAATTCGCAATTACAAAGATGTAGAAACAACCGAAGTGCCCATCAATACATGAGTGGATTGATAAAATGTGGTATATGTATACATGCAGTCCTATTCAGCTAAAAGAAACAACAGTGATATAGCACCTCTTGTGTTTTCCTGGCTAGAGCTGGAACCCATTCTATTAAGTGAAGTATCCCAAGAATGGAAAAATAAGTACCACATGTACTCACTAGCAAATTGGTATTAACAGATCAACCCTTAAGTGGACATATAGGAATAACATCTATCGGGTGTTGGGCAGGTGGAGGGGAGGGGATGGGTATATACATACATAATGAGTGTGATGCACACCAACTGGGGGATAGACATACTTGAAGCTCTGACTCGAGGAGGGAGGGGGGGCAAGGGCAATATATGTAACCTTAACATTTGTACCCCCATAATATGCTGAAAAAATTAAAAAAAAAAAAAAACCAAAAAAAAATTCATGACTCAGTAGTTAGAATTCTACTGTGGATGTCTGATCATCACTGAAAAGGATTCTAATGCAACTTCAGTTTTCATAGCAAGGAAGTATTATTTCAGAAAGACCTTAGATTGTCAAATGCTCTAGCAAACACCACATACTGAAGAAACAGAAGAAAGAAGATTTTATTCGTGCATTCATTCATCCATTTGAAATAACAAAAATCACTGCATGTTTACTGTTCTATAATGTAATAGAGCAAACATTAAAAATGTTAGAAATGTCAAACTAAATTATTACATGATAAACTAATCAATATAAAGCCTTTATGCAGAATATGGGTATTTCCAAAATGAAAACAAAAGAAGAAAATTGATTTAAGATGTTTGTAAATATGAACTGAATAAATGCTATTATGACAGAACCACAGCTATTTATGGATATGATTTTTAAAAGCTTCTTTAAATACTATACAGTTGTCCGCATGTCATTTTGTAAAGAGAAAAATTAAGGAGAAAGGAAATGTAGACATAAGAAGAAGAAACTGAGGAGTGGCTCATGGTATGAGTTAGATTATCAGAGATTTTCTACAATGGAATTTGAAATGCAGGGAACACATTTGGTGTATGCTTGTAGAGGACTTAAACTGAGGGCATTCTTCTGCTACCTCTGCCAGCAGATGAGTGGCTCCTGAGAATGCATACCAAATTAATTCCCCAGCTGTTCACATGCATATAAGCAGCTGCTGCTGTTACTGCCTAACACTTATGGCAGTCTGTCAGCACCTCTAATCTCTGCCATAGCAGACAAGCCACTCAGCTAAGGCCTCTACTGTACTTCCAAAGAAAGAATCTCTCAACTCGGGACTGGGTGGCACTAGATTGCCAGCTGCAGGCCTCAGAGTTGCTGGCTGCATGTTGCTGGGTCTATCAGCTGCTGAGCCGTTCTCGCCAAAAATGAGCTAAATAAAGTACCCCCATAGAGAAATTTTCTGAAATCATGACAGCATTCAATGGAAAACAGAGTTCAATCTATACAAATACATTTCACAGATGTTTTGAGAGTACATCTATTTTATAAAGTAATGTACATCTATATACACAGAACAAAAGAGAGAAAAACCTAAAGGAAATGAAAATCAAAATTTAATTAAAAAATTTATCAGGAACCTAAAGGTAAAGATTCCATGTATTTTTAAATGACATTTTTTGGTCACTATGAAACACTAAGATGGTTTTAAAAATATTACAAAGCCATATAAATACCTCAAATTAAGATAACATTCTTCCGTATGTTTTTCAGATTTCTGGATTGAGTTACCTTTTTGAGTGGTTTAAAGTCTTCTGTGTTCTTCTTTATTAAGCAAAAGCACAGTTACGTAGTGTTATCATGACTCTGTAGTCTTAGTTGTTAAAAGTGGTAAATGTATTAACTAAATATGCCAAACTAATTTATAAAGAGCATTTCAAACAACATGTTTGGGTACCACTTTTTTAAATATATGTTTTAGAATCAAACATATTTATCAATTATTTAGTCTTCATTAATAACTAAAATTACTTGTTGCTAGTATTAGTAATAGCTTTTTAAAAGTACCTTGATCTCTGTGTTTCCAAAATTTTTCCTAGTCCATTTATTGATCTGAAATTAAAAAGGAACAAGAAAAGGTAAAAAAAAACTATAAATATTAGCTTTTTTTAAAAGCACACAAAACATTTATTTCTAAAACAGGAAGTAAGCATACACAAATATATCTGGAACTAGAAAAAAATAAAAATAGAAAAACAAAACTTACTTTTTTATAGTTTAAATATTCTTTTCCTTCAAACCATAAATCAGGTATATTCCACTCATGCATTAAGAAACCATGATATGCAAAAATCTACTGCAGAACTGACAGATTAGGGACTACTGTGTGATTTATAAAAAGACATTCCACTTTAGAAAAAAATGATTCATAAATAGCCAGTAATTCTAGTGTTCTTAAAATGAGTAGACACTCAAAATTTTAATTGAAAGCCAATTTTTCCCCAGACATTGTGGAAATGACTATACACACAATAGAAATAAAAACCTGGTTGTAAGTGGCTTTGACCCAGCTTGTCCCCAATATCCATAGTCACTCTAAGTCACATATCCCGGGTTCCGTTATAGAATAACCCCTTCAGTTCCCTAACTAGGATCTCTATTCATTATGCCTGTCCTCCCTCTTCTTATACTAAAATAATGGAATATGGCTCCCTTTATATGGCACCAAAGAGTACTTATTAAATCCTTTTCAACATACTGTATATTGCATCTGTTTATCTTTATATCATCAATTCCATTGTCTTTAGGGTTACTTTAGGGTTAGGCCCAAGATGCCTGCTACTTGTTCCAGCTTGTTCTCATGGGTAAGGCTTCCCACATGCAATGATTCTGAGGCCAGTTTCTCCACTGTCTCTTTCAACCATTTTACAAAATTCTTTTTTTTTTTTGAGATAGAGTCTCACTTTGTTGCCCAGGCTAGAGTGAGTGCCGTGGCATCAGCCTAGCTCACAGCAACCTCAATTTCCTGGGCTCAAGCGATCCTACTGCCTCAGCCTCCCGAGTAGCTGGGACTACAGGCATGTGCCACCATGCCCGGCTAATTTTTTGTATATATATTTTTAGTTGGTCAATTAATTTCTTTCTATTTTAGTAGAGACGGGGTCTTGCTCAGGCTGGTTTCAAACTCCTGACCTCAAGCAATCCGCCCGCCTCGGCCTCCCAGAGTGCTAGGATTACAGGCGTGAGCCACCACGCCCGGCACAAAATCCTTTATCTTCTCTTCAGAATATATTCTGCAATCTGATGGCTATTTCCTCTCAAACATGTTTACCTTCTTTCAATGCCCCAAATTTGATTCTGAGTCACTCACAAGTCTGGCATAAATTGAGGATAAAAGTCAAAAGGGTCTGTAATTTATCAAATTGCTTCTTCCAAATTCTTTTCTGATACTGTTAACAAACTGGCTAATAATCAATATTGCTAGTGTCAGTAATTCAGCTTAGATAGTCAATATGGGGATATAAAAGCCAAATAATAATAATCACTCCTTTTAAACCAAAAATGTTTGCTAATTAGAGTATGTTTTTCTAGCAATCACAATAGTGTACAAGATTTTTAAAAAAGAAACAAAATTAAAAGACATAATCTCCATTCACCACTTTCTAGACTTTTCAAAAATATCAGCTATCTTTCTCTTTCTTTCATTTTTATTCTCTGTAACATAAATTTACTAAGAAGAAATCTACATTATAATAATAACAGCTAACAGAGCACTACTATGTGTCAGACACCGTGCAAAGTTTGCCAACATTGTCTCACGTAATACTCAAAGCAAACTTATAAGTATTATTCCTGTTTTACAGTTGAGGCTTTAAAAGGTTTAAAAGGTTAAATACATTTCCTAAGAACACAGTGGGACACAGACCAAGGATTAGAACCCAAGCAGATTCCAAGGTCCATGATCTTCAACACTATGCAACACTACCTGCCCTCCACATGAAGATATTAACATAATTTTTATAGTAAAGTTAAAGAACATTAGTATTAAGATCAAATATGCAGAAAAAGTATGAATTTCTTTCTTCCAAAATCATTAATTAGTACAAACAATCCCTTAATTAGTCTTGCCTTTTATTGATTCAATTTATAACATATACTAACTGGCATGACAGATTCAAAATCTGATATCATCAGCAAAAGTTATAAATGCTAAGAATGGTAAATTTTGAGCCACCATGCGCAAAGCATTGTACACATTAAAGATGACCAATAATAAAAGCTACTGAATGTCTCTCTATACATGTCATTTATTAGTTCAGGTCTTACAAAATAATTCAAAAAAAAGTCCCTGAACTCTAACCTTGTTTGAAAAATACACCTTTGTTTTCAAAAGGAATGGGAGTCTCCAGAACAGTCCGCAAAATGCTAAATCATTTAAAACATATCTGAGTATCAGTCATACTGTCCTAATCAGCCTTGGCCATGGACACTGAAGACATCAGAGCAAGTTGGAAGACAAGGCATAATTGACAGTTAAGGAAGACAAAGTCAATGAGGGTTCAGGGAAAAGTGAGACCACCTGTGAAGTCAGATAGACTTTACAGAGGAAGGAGAAAGGAGGGGGAGAGAGAGAGAAAACAGGCTTTACAGAATGGATAAAATTGCTTTAAAAATAAAAACAAAAAAAAAAAAACAAAGATGAAGAAGGAATTCAGGGATTGGCAGAGTGAGAACACATTGTAAGTAAAGAAGAAGAGATCTAGCAAGACACATTCATGGGAAACTGACCATCCTGGGTAAAGTTAGGTAGGCTTGACATTAGGAAAGAGTCAAAGACAAGACAGGAAAAGGAGGTTGGAGTCAGAGGACCCTGAATATCAGTCTACAGATTTTGAACTATATTCTGCAAGCCAAGGGGATTAATTTTATATATTGCTATTTACGTAGCAGTCAATTAGTCAACAACACAAGTGATTCCCTAATGGCCCATGAAGTAGGTCAACTTTGAACCATAAGTTTCTACAGGGCAAACAGTCATGATAAAAATATTTTGTATAGTACACTTTGGATTTGCAGGCACTTAATAAACATATAATTTTGTACCTAATGGTTGTTTTTAATTCGTTTAAATCCTCTTCTGGAACCAAGTCTGTTTTATTGATGAGAATGATATCTGCCAAAGCAATTTGCCTAAAATAGCAGACAAAGAACAGATGTCAAAAGAAAAATGTTAAGAAATTAAAAGTAAATAGAAACATCTCATTCAGACCAATATATTGGTTAAGAACTATATGGTAACCATAGTAGTGATTCAGTTTACTCCTAATCTGCTTATTCTTCAGACAGTATAGATGAATTATATTCATCACTATATAAATTTAGATTTCCTATAATTTATTCAAAAAGTATTTACTAAGTTCTCTTACTTGCTACTCTGAAACTACAAAGATAAGCCTCAAAAAGTTTATAATCAAAAGGATGATTTTTAACTCATAATTTTCTTTGTAAAGAAAAGCACAAAATTCAGATATCTAATATGGTAGGAATAAGGACAGGCTATTTAGTAAAATATTTCTTATAATATTTATCATATTTTTCAAAGAAACACAGAGAACATTAAACACTATATTAGTTTAAAAACTACACTTCAGAAGATATATTAGGATCTTGCACAAATATCTTCTTCACTATGACTATATTGTATATTATCTCCATAAAATGGATATGCAGAAATACAAGTTAAAGAATCCATTGACAGAATGTTAGTAACAAAATAGATTATTAAAATTATTCTATTTTCTACTAACAGGAGTAGTAAAGCTGGGAATTCTTTCAATTTTCTTCAATTCTTCAGAAAATTTTAATCACTGGACTATCTGTTTCTAATCCTCGTCTTTTGCTATATCTCAAAGAACATAACTAAATTTTCAAAACTAAATTAACTTTAATTCACTGAAAAAGCAGATGTCAACAATATGTACAAATTAACTTTAATTCACTGAAAAAACAGATGTCAACAATATATACACCACAATATAATGTTTAAGCAAATTTTATATGAATAAAGACAATGTACAATATCTCAAAATATAAACCGTTGCAATCTTTAAATTGGAGGAATTCTATGTTTAATCTGCTTTTGGCTTTTACAACATTTTGCTATTTTCTATTTGACTTATTTACATTTCCTATAATCCCACATTTTCATGAGGAAAAAAGTTACCCAAACATTTAAGTTCGTGCTAAATTTAATTATAATTATATACCAAATGCAGTGTTTAGGCAGGATAACAAAACAACAAAGTACCATACTCCGAAATAATACAGAATCAACTGCTTGCTTTGAGTCTTTATGATTTATGTCTGGATGATCCTTAGCAAACCCCAAGGGGTCTCCCTCTTAAATCCAGAAGCATATTTAGTGACTGCCATCTATCCCAAAACCATTATCCCATTGGCAAGAATATGCTCAGGGTAGGCAAATTAAATATTTATAAGTATAAAGACAAGTCAATTAGGAATATAAAGGCATTTAAATTTAAAAATGTTTAAATGCCAAGTTAAATTTATTTCCATATTTGTTGCTCTATTATTCTGAGTAATAGTGAACACTGAAATCAAATGAAATGCTGTTAAAGAAGCCAACTATTTTTTATAATCTTCAATCCCAAATAAACTGTATGAAAAGAAAATATTTGTAAATGTTATATTTTCTAAGTTCCTCACAAAGAACTCAACTCCTGTGTTCAGCACTCACTTTATGCTACAGTAAAAATGGTTGTAAGTAAAATTTTACTTATTAGACCATTATAAATAGATAGCGATAACTCAACTGTGGGAGAAAAAATAAAATAAATGTCCTTGACTATGTTTTTATATTTCTTAGCTTGTTTATGGTTTTCATATAAATGATTGTCTCTAATTAGCCAGCAATCAATATATACTTTAAATAAGAATACCTAGTAGCTTCATTGATAAGGCCATCAGGTTTTTCTTCCATTAAATGCTAAACAAAAACAAAGTTTGAAAAAAGTTACTGTGATATAATATAAAATCTAATAGCAACACAAAGGATTTTACATTAGAGACATTTTTCTTGCCTCCAATAAAGACTTTAACAAGTTCAATTACTGAATACACAAATTTAGAACTAACTTTTCTATCTGAAAACATTTTTCTTCCCATTTGTAATATTTTTCTACAGTGAACCAGTGGAATTTTTTGGAGGAAGAAGGGGCTTATGATTTTATACTCTTGTCTTTCTGTTTCTTAAAAGGAAAACCCCTCTTTACATGATACGGTTGGGCAAGATATCTGCTTCTGAATGATCCTATAATATTGAAAACTCTTTTAAAACTCTTAAATATTTTTCAAGATATTATATTGTTGACCTTCTGGAAGCTTTATTTACACACGAATGTGGAGCTATCTGGCTGTGAGTTGGTAAGGCGTTTAAAAGATATGACAGAGAATTAGAGATGCTTTTGAATTTCTGTACCTAAATGGAACTAATAAAATGGGTAGTTCAACAAAAGTAACTCAGTGTTTTGAATGTTCACTTCTCCAAGAGATTAGAAATCTTCACCTCAAAGCTAACTGGGGTAGACTAACATTTTACTAACTGCAAGCAGTTAGAAAGTATCAAATATAAAAATAAGTGAAAATCCTCTGAAATAAAAGCCTGCCAATACGTACAACTCCATTAAGAATATGATATAATCATACATAATTATAGCAGAAGAGATAAATTCCCTACTCTGTGCACATGACAGCTGTACAAACACTAAAAAATAAATGTATACTAACATTTAGTTTCTCTAGATATCAGCGCAACATTTCCCTTACAAGACTTTCTACTTCCCCAAGTCAAACTCTGCAAAAAGTCTCAAACCAATGTCTCCTATTTGAAAGAAGAGTCTCCAATAACACATTCCACCATTTGGTCATTAAGTCAAATGACATTCATTTATAAAATAAAAACAAAATGGAAACTTTGGCATTTTATTCTACCTGTATAGACAAATGAAAGAAAAAATCTGCAAAAACATATTTTTCAAAATATTTTACATTATATATATTATACACACACACCCCTTCAAAAGATTCCTCATCTGTGCTTAGAGACTGTGGCTTTTGCTTATATATCTAAGACAAAAATAATTTTGGTACTAATTAATACAATATATTCAAAATGTTAAGGTTCAAACCCCCAACTTAGCCTACCATAAAAAACAAGGAGGGGGGAAGGGGGAGTGTAAGAAGTTGGTCAAAGAGTACAAAGTTTCACTTATGCAGGATAAATAAGTTACTGAGAGCTGATTATAGCATGGTGACTATAGTTACTACCATATTAAATACTTGCAAAGAGCATAAATCTTAAATGTTCTCACCACAACCCTCCCAAAAATGGTAATTATGTGAGGTGACATATTTGTTTCACAACATATACTGATATCAAAAGTTCACATTGTATACCTTAAATATATATAATTTTTATTTGTCAATTATACCTCAATAAAACTGGGAGGGTAGAAACAAAGGAACTCATTGAAATAACACCACTGTAGACATGACTTCTAAAGGGCTATAGGGTGTCCTGTTCTGCAGAAATAAACAAGCCAGACCAAAAATAATAATAATAATAAAAGAAAAGAAAAGAAAGAAAAGAAAAAACTGTCTTAAAACTGTCTGTAAAAGAACACTGTTGTTGACCAAAGTGGAAATAAATCTAGGGTCAAAGATGTCAGTTGTCATTTAAATAAAGCAGCAGCAGCAGCAGCAGCAGCAACCAGCAACTATTTCTTTCAAATGGTTTGGTTATGGTCCTAACACTATTTTAGTTTTAAAACAATTATTGCATAATGTCAGTCTATTTATTTTTCTGGTCTTTTCCAAGCTAAACTGTTTTCTGGCTGAACTGTTTCAACAGCCTGTGCAATATAACAGAAGACCCAAAAAGAAACCTCTCACTTGACCTTTTCTGGGAAACTTCATTCATTGATTCTATTGCATTAAATGCTGTCACATTTGTAGAACTGAAAAGAACAACGTCAGTAGCCTAGGTGTCAAGTCCTGAGAATAGAGAGCTGTCATTTTAAGTTGTCCAATTCTTTGCCCATGATTAAAAAATGAATATTTCAGATCAATGGGTGACAATCCCATTAGAGTGATAGCCCATGATATCAATTACCACTTCAGTTTCAATTTGGCTGGCTGGCCACAGGGTACCATTTCTCAGCTTTACTTGTGATGGGCTGGCTCTGTGAAGCATGACACCCTTAAATTGCTGCCCATTATCCAAGTGTCATTACTTGTACTGCCTCAGAATTCTCTGAATCACAAGCAGCTACTGAGGTCAAGCTTTGCAACCAGAGGAATTGGACAAGTTGGCAAATTCTTTATATAAAGGCAAAGTTATTTATTTGGCATCCGACTTAGAAAATCTAAAGTTTCCATTATCCTGACAGTATGTCAGTTTTGTGTAGGTATATTGATTTAATAATTTAAGAGGTTTTATCAAGGTGGCAGGAGGTTAAACATTTACTGTGTTTGCATTATTCAGAATGTTGCTTTGTTTTTTTGGCCCCTATAATGCTGATAATAGATCCCATTTAACTTCTCTCCATACCCAACTATATATATAACATTATTCCTATAATCATAAAACACATAAAGAGTTTGACTTTTGGCATGACACTTTAAATCTATCAAACAAATAAAAACAAATAAAATTCTTAGCAGCTATCTATCCCATAGGTATATAAAATTTGGTAATAAATTTATAGAGATAGACTAAAACAAACCTATAACAAACATCCAAAATGAATAATTTGGGGTGTTTTTTTTTGCCACCTCTATAAACATTTTGCTAGAAATGATTTCAGAACGATCCAAATTTTTCTGAGTAAAATTATAATACTATATGTGAGACCTTTCTTTCATTGTTAATACTATTCATAAATTTAGATTTTAAACTTAAAAAGAGGAATTATTTTCCAAACTTTTCAGTAGGGTACTCTATCCCTGAGGGAAGTGAAGGACCAGTAAAAGGGTCCTGGCAGCTATTTGACAAGCCTGACATGTCTCCCTGCTGCATAATTTCATTGAGGATTTGGAAGAAAAACTTTCAAAAATTAACAAGTTTAGATATATTATGGGCTAGAAAGCAAAACTGACACAAATTTTTAAACACTGTATTTAAACTTCTAAGAAATTATTACTTTGGGCCCTATCCATATCCCCAGACTGGGACGGTGGTGGGAGGTGAGGCAGAGGATACTTTCATTCTCTGTTGCCTTTAGTGATACTTTACCTGGGAAGTTGAGAAGCACTATTTTACTTTATGCAACAGCATGTTTTTAAAGATCTTACTAAATGCATTTTATAAGTTGAACCCCATTTAAATGCATTTGAAGACCTTAGAAGTTAACAAAAACATTCACGGCAGGATGCCTTTTGATGGAGGGTTTCTCCTCACTAATTCTATGTTGTTACAAATCCTGACAAATCCTTCAAAATAAAGTGGTATTTATTAAAAACCTATTTTCAATATGTATTTAATATATAGTTCTCATATGCTTTATTAAGCTCAATTTCCTCTAACAAACAGAAAAACTTACCAATACTGGGGCTGAATCCTAATGAGGAGTTACAGGTACTCAAACTTTATCCTGACCCTATATCCTTATTACAAAATATAATTCCAAATTTTATCATTACATTAAACCTGAGTAATTTATAAAAGAAATATTTAATTTAAAAACACAAAATAATAATTAAAACAAAAATTTCATCTATTGTCCAGGATAATAGATGAAAAAGGCTTTTGTTAAGGAAAATGTCAAACACACTTAAATATAGAAAATATGATACAATGAACCCTCATATTCCCAGCTTTTAACAAACAATCAGCAACTCATAGCAATGTTTTAACTTACTTTCAGTCCATATTTTGAATCTACAACAGTTATGATACCTACAAAGGAATAAACAATTTAATCACCTTTTTTAAAAAGTATGTTTATTAATATTGTTCAACCATATTTGAGAATAAAAATTAAAATTAATCTACTACCTCAGTTCACAAAGACTACTCAATAAAACAAAGTATTGTTTTTTTCTCTTACCAACACTGCAATTAAATTCAACTCCAGTAATAAGTCAATTCATTTCAAATATGTGCTTAGTACCTAGTACTGTTTGTTTAAAGTACTAAAGATAAAAATTAAATTTTAAAAACTAAATAAGAAAATGAGATTTCCCTGGCATTTATAAAGCTTACAAAAAAAATAAAAAGCTTACAATCCCAAATACAAGATAAATTTCATAAAATAAGGTAAAATGTGATAAATTACACAAGCAGGTTATTTCTAGTTCATTTTCACATAATCAAAATCAAAACTTAACATTTAAATTATTGCTTAACAAATAAGACATCTTAAGATATCTTCTAATGTCTCTCACCAAACCTAACTCACAAAAATGCTTTATACAATATATACCTAAGCTTCCAATCAGTTTAGCAATCTCTGAATATATGCTAAATAATTTTTCGAAGGATGACAGCAGAACCAGTTTAATTATGCCTAAGCAATTCAACCAGCTACATGCCACATATATTAGAGCCCAACGAGGGGGCCCAGCTTCAATGATTCTTTCACCCCTTAGTCTATGAAAGACTAGTTTTAAAAAGGGGAAAGAGAGAGGAGGGAGGAAAAGAGAGAGGAAACATCATTGCTCAATTAAGAAAGTTCCCAATATTAATATGTCTTAAATGAAGACATATAGTTTATAAATTTATAAATAAGACTGCCCAAAAGTTTTAGGGTAAATAAAGGGAGGATGTGCTTAATTCTTATCTTCAAGGGAAAATGAAAGCAGACATATGAATCTCACATTGCCTGGATAACATTATCCTCAGCAGGTAAATCAAACAACAGAGGATATAGGAAATTTACACAGCATTTTCAAGGGAAAACTTCAGTGGAAGCACTAAATTGGGAGTTGTGATTAAGACCCAACATCCAGTTCTACCACTGTCTGGGGGCTTTTGAATCTATATGAACAAAAACTTACTTCATCACCAAACTAAACAAGTTTGAAAACAACAATGCAAAGAATTAAAATACAGTAGGAATGAAGTAATAATAAAAATTTACTTAAAAACAAAATTGTTTTACTTACCATCAAGATAAATATCACTCCCTAATTCAGCATCAACCCAAAAGATAGAGGCCACAGCACCTGAAAATATATAATTTTCATCATATAACAACATTCCTTCAAACTGAGAAACATGATTCTATCCATAGTTTAATCTGTCCCAATGAAATTGGCAGGTAAGCACATACATAAATTAAATCTGGGTTTCCAATCTTCTTATGGGAATTATAGTGATAGAACCATTTACTGTTTATACCCATTTCTACCCTTCTCCCTACTTCCTCAAAAAAGGACCAACTCTTACCATGTATGAACAAAACATCATGTTTCTACCAATGCCATAATAATTTACCAGCAGATATTATCAAATAATTTTGAGAGTATGACTGTATGCACAAACTTATTTTTATTTTCTCATCTCTTGAACATGATAATCACTCAGGTCACAAATGATGAATTCTCCCTTTAGAGGAAAAGCATAACATAGATAATTCCGAAATCATTTATCAAAAAAAATTAGTTATAATTTTTGTAGAAGAAAAAGTAGTAAAATTATACACTCTATGCCATTACTAATTAATCTTCAGACTATTTAGTACTGGTATAAAATTTGGGTCTCAGGAAAAATTATTTCTAAATAAGAAATTAAAACTTGTTTTTGACAGAAACTGGTTTAGTACCAAACCACACACCCTGATTAGTATGCTACAACACAAGAAAAAGAAAACTGACAGCAAGTAAAGTATTTGATTTTTCAAAGCATCACAGGCCCAGTTAGTGACAGGACTGTCTAAAAGAATGAGCATGGGGAAAAACAAGGATAACTGAACTCATTCCAATGTTGAAAGCTGTCCACCTACCCTGACAAGATGTGGTCCCCCAAGCATCATTCTGTGTCAACAATAAAATACCTGTCAGCTGTTTACAGTGATTACTCATGCAAGATATAGCAAGGGCCACAAGATCTAATGGTTTCCTGATACCTATTGATTTTTCCCCAAAAACTTAATAGTTTTCCAATTTGACTGAAATAGGATTTGTGAGTAACTGGAGCTGAATCAATGTCCATCCTTTTCAAGGAAATTACTTTACCATGACAATTATTTAGCTTAAACCTGGAGAGTGTCAGTCTCCTAAATGGGAAACAACTGAATTGCCAATATGAGTTTTGTTCACTTTCTTGGCTAAAAACATGATTTTAATTAATGAGGGGGAGGGAAGTAAATCTACCGTATCATTACTCCAAACAATAATTCACTAAAAAAACTAATAATTTATTCACTCAGTAAAATACCTAACATCATACATAAATCATTTTATAATTTTTAAAAACTCATTGATTTCTATGCAGATAAATAGCTTGTCTACCATTAACATTTACCCACTAAGTTGAACTGTAAGAGTGTATTAAAGCTTTTACTCTAAATCTGAAGTTTACCTTTGATACAATAATTGCCAGACTATACAAGAAAGAACTATTTCAAATTTGGATATAGGTGCTTAACAAGTGGAGTGAAGATGAGTAGAATGAAGTTAATCAGTGGTCTCAAATCAGTGTGCTATTTCTCCCCAAGGGTACACTTGGCAAAGTTTGAAGATATTTTTCATTGTCTCAACTAGGAGGATGTTACCAGCATCTAGTGGGTAGAAGCCAGGGATGCTGTTAAACATCCTACAATGCACAGGGCAACCCCGACAACAAATAATTACTCAACCCCAAATGTCATTTATGCCAAGATTGACAAACCCTGAGCTAGATTATAGACTCTCTTTTCTTTAAAACCTAATAAAACAAACAAAAAAAAGAAAAATAAATGAAAAATAAAATATTTAAAAACAAAAAAAGCCAAAATTGTGTCAGCAGCAGCCATACAACCACCTGCCATAAATTTTGAAGAGTGATAGTCAAAATAAGAAACAAAGCTCTATGTGACTATGGTCTTTCCTAACTCTACCCTCAGGTTAGGCTAGAGTTAGGAAATATGGGTTTGTAGGGAAATAGTTTACAAAATCCTGATACTTATCAGAAACACCTCAACAAATGTCAAGAAGTAGAGCTGAAGGAAGAATAAACAATGCAGAGAAAAGACAACAAAAAAAGTCAAGACTAAAAGTATCTATTTCCACCTTTGGGGAGACAGAGTCACTTCCAAGGCTTCAGATCAAAGTGAAGCAAGAAGTCTAAAGTGCAATAATAACCTCACATGAGGTATAGAATGTATATTCTTAAGCAGTTGGAGCAAACTCAAGAGGAGAATACTTCGTGTTTCAAGGGAGCAGAGCCTAAAAGACACATTGCCCCATCTGGCTCTCTTAGTCACCCCTCTTCCCATAGCTTCCCCTTCCCAGCCAACAGCAATACCCAGCTTTCAAACTGGGGCTCAGGAGAAAAACAAGTTTGGGTAAGATAAGTAGGGTATTAAAAAGAATTCTTCATCAATATCACATCTTCCCATTTTATGTAAATAGAAGTGCTCTGTGCCCGCCAGATCAAGAACAACATACATGCACACGTACAACAGCAGAGAAAAACACAAAGGAAGATAAAAGGCAGGAAGAAAAAAAAAACTGAAGAAATGAATAGGGCATACAAATGGCAAAGAACCCATTCTGGAAGGGACATAATCCAAGAAACTGAAGAAAATTCTCAAGAGATTAGAACATTCACAAAGTCTTCCTGATATGATAAAAGGAGAAAACACTGGACAAGGAAAAACAGCCAATCAAAAAAACACTAGATTATGGAGCAGCAAATGCAAAATTCTGAGGGGAAAAAAATTGTGATTCAGAAATTTTATACTACCTAAGTACTCCTTCAAGTATAGAAACAAAAGGCAACTATTCTCAAGCAATAAAGAATGAAGTATGCAAGAATTCATATAATGCAGGACCTATAACTTGAATAGATTACCTGATGATGAAATTCAGTCAGTCAAAAGATGGATTAACTCAGGAATGGAGAAGCCCTAGCACTGGTAATGAGCACTAAAAACATTTAAATATAGAACTAAAGAAATTATGACAAAATGTAAATCCTAGAAACCTTGATGACATAACAAAGAATACACTCAACCAAAACCAGGAGATTGTAAGAGCATTAATTTTATGCTAGGAAATCAATAGATACTCCTCAAAAAATTGAAACATAGTTTAAAAAATAACTTGTCTATGGATAATTAGGGTGATGATAAAATAAGGTAAAAAAAGCAAAAATTAAAAATTAAAAATAACTTGTCTACTTTATGTTCTTTGAAATCTTTTTTCTTAATTCATATCTCTTGCAGTAAAGAAGCATTTATCTGGTATTCAGCAATTTCTTCACTTACCATTTTCTCTTTCTTCTGATAGATTCAAGTAAACTAAATTAATAATTATTAAACATAGAACAAAGAATGTGAATCCATCTTTATAAAATTATTTCTGTATATTTAGACAGCTTTCAAAAGTGCAAAGAGGTTTCCCGAACTTATACAAGTATAGGCATACCTCGTTTTATTGCACTTCACTTTACTGCACTTTGGAGAGAATGCATTTTTCATAAATTAAAGGTTTGTGGCAACTCTGTGTTAAGCAAATCTATCAGCACCATTTTTCCAACACTATATGCTCACTTTGTGTCTCTGTACATTTTGGTAATTCTCACATTATTTCAAACTTGTTCATTGATTATTTTATCTGCTGTGATCTTTGATGTTACTATTATAATTGTTTTAGGATGCCATGAAGTGTGCCAATATAAGACGGCAAACTTAATCTATAAATGTGTGCATTCTGACTGCTCCACCAACTGCCTGTTCCCATTTCTCACCCTGTCTTCTGGCCTCCCTATTCCCTGAAACACAACAATATTAAAATTAGGCCAATTAATAATCCTACAATGGCCTCTAAATGTTCAAGTGAAAGGAAGAATTGCACGTCTCTCACTTTAAATAAAAAACTAGAAATGATTAAGCTTAATGAGGAAGGCATGTTGAAGGCTAAGACAGGCAGAAATCTAGGTTTCTTGCATGGAAAAGTTAGCCAAGCTGTGAATGCAAAACAAAAGTTCTTGAAGGAAATTAAGTGCTACTCCAATGAATACATGAAAGATAAGAAAGCAAATGGCCTTATTGCTGATATGGAGACAATTATTGCTGTGGTTTGGATATATGACCCCTCCAAGCCTCATGTTGAAATTTGATCCTCAATGTTAGAGGTCCTATCTAATGGGAGGTGTTTGGGTCATGGGTAAGAGGTGGGGGTTGAGTGAATTACTCTGTTTGTTCCATCCAGAGAGCTAGTTGTTAACAAAAAAGCCTGGCACCTCCCTCCTTCTCTCTCTTGCATCCTACTTCACCATATGATTTCTGCACATGGCAAGTCCCTTCATATTTTGCCATGAGTGGTAACAGTCTGAAGCCCTTGCCAGAAGCAGATGCTGGTACCATGCTTCTTGTACAGTATGTAGAACCATAAGCCAGGTAAACTCCTTCCTTCATAAATTACCTAGCCTCAGGCATTCCTTTATAGCAACACAAAACAGACTAAGACAGCTTTAGTGGTCTGGATAGATGATCAAACAAGCCACAACATTCTCTTAAGCCAAAGCCTAATCCAGAGCAAGGTCCTAATTCTCTTTAATTCTATGAAGGTAGAAGAAAAGAGGTGAGGAAGCTGCAGAAGAAAATTTGGAAGCTAGCAGAGTCTGGTTTATGACGTTTAAGGAAAGAAGCTGTCTCCAAAACATAAAAGTATAATGTGAAACAGGAAGTGCAAATGTAGAAGCTACAGCAAGTTAACCAGAAGATCTAGCTAAGATAATTGACAAAGGCAGCTACACTAAACAACAGATTTTCAATGGAGACAAAACAGCATTATACTGGAAGAAGATGCCATCTAGGACTTTCATAGCTAGGGAAGAGCGTCAATGCCTAGCTTCAAAGAATAGGCTGACTCTCCTATTAAGGGCAAATGCAACTGATGACTTCAAGTTGAAGCCAAAGCTCACTTACCATTTCACAAATCTTAGGGCACTTAAGAATTATGCTAAATCTCCTCTGTCTGTGCTCCATAAAAGGAACAACAGCATATCTACTGACAGAATGGTTTACTGAATATTTTAAGACCACTGTTGAGACCTACTGTTTGGGAAAAAAGATTCCTTTCAAAATATTACTATTCACGGACAATGCACCTGGTGACCCAAGAGCTCTGATGGAGATGTACAAGGGAGATTAGTGTTGTTTTCATGTCTGCTAACACAACATCCATTCTGAAGCTTAGAGTAATTTCAATGTTCAAGTCTTATTTAAGAAATATATTTTGTAAGGCTACAGCTGCCATAAATAGTGATTCCTCTACTGGGATTCACCATTCTAGATGCCATTAAAAACACCTGTGATTCATGGGAGAAGGTCAAAATATCAACATGAACAGGAGTTTGGAAGAAGTTGATTTCAACCCTCATGTATGACTTTGAGGGATTAAAGACTTCAGAGGAGGAAATAGTAAGAGAACTACTAGAATTAGGATCAGAGCCTGAAGATGTGAACCAATTGCTATAATCTCATGATAAAACTTGAACAGATGAGGAGTTGCTTCTTATAGATAGGCAAAGAAAGTGTTTTCTTTAGGGGGAATCTATTCCTTGGAAGATGCTGTGAACACTGATGAATGACAACAAAGGATTTAGAATACGACAAACTTAGTTGATAAAGCAGTGGCAGAGTTTGAGAAGATTGACTCCAATTTTAAAAAAAAGCTCCACTGCGGGTAAAATGCTATCAAACAGCATCAAATGCTACAGAGAAATCTTTCATGAAAGGAAGAGTCCATCAACACAGTAAACTTCATTGTTTTCTTAAGAAATTGACACAGACACTGCAAACTCCAGCAACCACCACCCTGATCAGTCAGCAGCCATCAGTATCAAGGCAAGACTCTCTACCCACAAAAAGATTATAACTCACTGAAGGCTCAAATGATTGTTAGCATTTTAGCAATACAGTATTTTTAAATTAAGGTATGCACTTTGTTTCTTTAAACATAATGCTATTACATACTTAATAGACCACAGTATAGTGGAAACGTAACTTTTATATGCATTGGGAAACCAAAAAACTTTTGACTTGGCCAGGCGCGGTGGCTCACGTCTGTAATCCTGGCACTCTGGGAGACCGAGGCAGGTGGATCACTCAAGGTCAGGAGTTCAAAACCAGCCTGAGGAAGAGCGAGACCCCATCTCTACTAAAAATAGAAAGAAATTAGCTAGACAACTAAAAATATATAGAAAAAATTAGCTGGGCATGGTGGCGCATGCCTATAGTCCCAGCTACTTGAGAGGCTGAGGCAGGAGGATCGCTTGAGCCCAGGAGTTTGAGGTTGCTGTGAACTAGGCTGACAGCACGGCACTCTAGCTGGGGCAACAGAGTGAGACTCTGTCTCAAAAAAAAAAATAGTTTGACTTGCTCTATTGCAATATTCACTTTATTGCGGTGGTCTTGGAACTGAACCTGCGATCTCTCTGAGGTAGGACTACACCTTACAAGAATCACCTGGAGGGCTTATTAAAACATCTTGCTGGGCCCCCACCCTTAGATAATCTGATTAAGTATATCTGGGTTCCCGCTCAAGAATTTGCATTTCTAACAAGCTCCCAGCTGAGGCTGATATCACTATTCAATTAGCACAGGCACGGAGAGATCCCTAGAATGAAACTTACCCACTTATATTTTATGGTAGCAAGATTATCTTTTTTTAACTTTATTTTTTGTACTTTTTTCAGTATGGCTTAATTTTTTAAAATGAATATGCCACCTCTACCCAAACAATAAAATCATTATATTAAACAAAGTTAGAAGAAAGAAACATTAACCATTTTTTATAACTACAATTTGTATGAAAGTTTTCTCTGAGCTCATTAACTTTCCTTTCTTCCTCTGAATGCTGAATTGTGTTTTATTAAACTCAAAAACAACAAGAGTTTTCCTCTGGAAAGTGGCAAAATTGGCTACGATGAAAGAAACTGATATTTGCTACTTTAAATAAAGGCATACAATATATTTTTTTCTCTTATCAGAGTCAAATAATTTAATATGTAACACCAACAGATTAGTCCAACTCCTATCACCAGTCAGATTTACAGGAAACGTATTAAAATTTATGAAAAACCCATGCCTACTATTAAGGACCAAAATAGCCCTAATTCAGTAGTACTACTTTGAAAACATGGGGACAATATTATTATGTAAAACTTTTAAGTACAATAACCACTGATTACATTTGAACCCTTCATATACTCCCAATATTTCTTTTGGACCATAATGACCCTTTTGGTAAATTACTCCCAAATATTTTAACATAGTTTTATAAATCAGCCCAATGCCATAGACCCACATCAAAACTAAATAAATAACAGTATAGGTCAGACTCATGGAACAAGTACTAAGTGCTACGCAAACTGAGAAGAAAGAGTTTACCTAAAAATTATTTAGGGAAAAATAAACAGAACTTACTAGAGTTAGAGTTTGGTAAGACAGTAACAGAAACCCATTGTTAGAAACAGTGGACTCTGTGTAGCTTTCCACAGGGAAGTTTAGGTGTAATTCTATTCAGATATAAAAAAATTATATTGATAATCATTAATTCCACACTAGGAAAAAGTCCCTGCAGGCTTGATTTAACTGTGTATTCTTTGATACCTTATGACAACATTTACAAATAAAATTATTTCAATTTTAGTAATATAAAAACAAAATGCTAACAATTAAAGAGAAAAATTATTGATGGGATCAGAGTCTAAAAGCCTTTATATATCTCTTATTGACCTTCTCAGAAAGATGGATTAGAACATAAACAGAAATAAAATCTACATATAGTATAACCAATCACATATGTAGTCCTCACTCCATATCTATGGGTTCCACATCCATGGATTCCACCCTGAATCAAAAATATTCAGGGAAAAAAAAAGATAGCTGCAGCTGTATTGATCATGTACAGACATTTTTCTTATTATTTCCTAAACAATATAGTCTAACAACTATTGTATTAGGTATTATAAGTAATCTAGAGATAATTTAAAGTATACAAGAGGATGTGAGTAGGTTATATGCAAATATTAATATTGCACCATTTTGTATAAGGGACTTGAGCATCCATGGATTATGGTATCCTTGGGGATCCTGGAACTAATCTCTCATGGATAACAAGTGATGATTGTACTTAGAAAGTCTCTATTTTTCCTCAATTTCCATATTTTTAACAACTTTTGTTCCTATCAATAACTCTAAATCAATCAATAAAAACTTCAAATTCTACTAACAGCTTAAAAGTACCAAGAAGTATTCTGTTCATGCATACTATCTTGCCCAAAGAAAGACCAACTCAGTACTTTCCCTCTTTAGAACCAAAAAAATAGGGGGCGGCGGGGGTGATAACTCTAATGCCTTAATTATTCATCTTTATATACTCCCTGTTGTAAGTACGATCTATTTAAAATGGCTCAAAGGAACTATATTCTAGTTATTAATAATGTCATTTCGTTACCAGGATCTGCTAATCCAGTGGTCTCTAACAGTATGTGTAATCAAATTTCCCTCTTGCTTCTGCCATCAAGAATTCTCAATAGCTCTAAGGCCATTGTCCCTAGAGAATATCAAAAGCATAAGGTATACAGCTGATTATCTAAATACTTTTAAGCATTCGATTATAAAATTTAAAACATATTCAATAAGCTGAGACAAAATATCTTTAGGCATGTGGAACATTTAACACCTCCTAAGTTCTAACATAATGTCTGTGTCTATATTTGTCAATGAGAAAATAAGAGAGAGAGATGCATATACCCTGATAGGTAAAAAGAAATTATATATGTACTACTACTTTAATTATTAAAAGCAGAGGAACTTATCTGACTGAAGTCAGTCAGGTAGCGTGTTATTTTATAGCTTTATGAAAGAAAAAAATCAACGTCCAAAATAATAATAAAATTATTACCTACAGTAGTTTTAATATAATAGCCAAAAGGACACTCCCATTAAATACCATTTCATTTATTCTGAATAGGGTATAAGGTTTGAATTTCTCCTTTTTCCGTAGTATTATCAAAGTGTAGGAAAAGTACTTAATAGATTACATTTTGGTTGTTCAAATACTGTTATGATTTATCCTTGCCAATACATTTGATTCAAACACCTAAGGTAGTAAATGTATGTAGAAGAAATTTCATTCCTTAGAATCCACAAAATCAATACAAGTATTAATTTTCACGATTCATTCAACAAATATTTGATTTGCTACTACGTGTCAGGTATTCTTTTAGGCATTTGGTAGATTAGCAAAGCAAAATAGGCAATTGTTTCCTTGGAAACTTAACTCAACTAGTGAATACAGCATAAGGTTTTCTCTTTTTTTGATAGTCATTTCTATTTTTTTTAGAAACCTGAATACTTAGAAATAAGGTCTATGACTTATTAAATTCTGAATATCATTTTTACATATGAAATAAGATTTTCATGCACTCACAGAGAATATTAATTAACCCTGACATCAAAGACCATAAAAATCTCAATAAAAGGACCAGAGCATTAGAGCAGATAGAAAAAAATAAGCAAGAAACACTTTTAAGAAATGCATCCTAATACATTTATTTTTTATTTGAAAATACAACAAACAAATTGTATAAATTTAGTTAAATTGCACAAGAAAATCAAGCTGGAAATATAATTGATAAACATTTCTAGTAAACAAAAAGCACATAGTAAATACAGTCCTCACTTTTACTGAACAGCAGAGGCAACCGTTTCCAAGTTCCAGCCACTCTTCATAGAGCTCTCCACCTTGGCTGACAGCTAAGGATTTCTCCACTGCACTTCCTAGAATAATTAACAAGCAACACTCTTTAGATTATGTTCACCAGCCAACCAAAAAACAAAGATGAGGATACTCAGTAACAAGAGTAGATAGCATAGCAGAAACTACATTTATAATTTCATTCTATCATGCAACCTACAAGCAGCACTCTAGATAATTTAGCTTTTAGAGGATTAAGCCCCTAAAAAAGTAAATTCAAAATTAATAAACAAAATCTACTTCCTCTTTAGGCTGTTACTTGTCCACTCCCATTTCTTAACAAAGTAGCTTTCTTAAAGCATTTTTTCTTTGTCCATGGTAAACTTTCTAGATAAACTAGAATGTTTTATATACTGGTTTTTATATGCCTTTCAACTTAAGATACTGCTGTTACCTGGGTTTTTTCCCCTTCATTATTCCCTAAATTATTGGTTTCTATTAGACAGACTGCTCAGTATTCCAGTATGAGTAAAAACCCTAGTTCCTTTTGAAAAAGTTTTTTGTCAGGGTACTAAGTATTCATTTAAAAATTAAGCTTTTAGTCAAATACGCATAAGGTTCCTAGCAATGCCTTACTTAAGAAAGAATAAAGTACATTTGAGATGCTTGTTATAAGAATGATTTAAATGTTTTATTTTTTCCTCCAATAAATATAAATATACGCAAAGCCAGGGAAGAGTTCTAAGTGTCTAGTAAAGCAAATCGCAAAAAAAAAAAAAAAAGAAAAAAAAAGTTTTCATTAAAAATTTTTTTGTTCATATTTCAGTTAGGTGATGATAAAGAGCTTTTAAAGGGGTTGCTACAGAATTCAGGCTATGCATTAATGAAACATTAAGGAAAATATTAAGAATGCTATGAAGGACAACACTGTGAAAATGATCCCAAAAAATGAAGAAAACTAGTAAGAAATAATAAATGTAAGCCAGGCGCGGTGGCTCACGCCTGTAATCCTAGCACTCTGGGAGGCTGAGCGGCGGGATTGCTCGAGGTCAGAGTTCGAAACCAGCCTGAGCAAGAGCAAGACCCGTTTCTACTATAAATAGAAAGAAATTAATTGGCCAACTAATATATATATAAAATTAGCCGGGCATGGGGGCGCATGCCTGTAGTCCCAGCTACTCGGGAGGCTGAGGCAGCAGGATTGCTTGAGCCCAGGAGTTTGAGGTTGCTGTGAGCTAGGCTGACGCCACGGCACTCACTCTAGCCTGGGCAACAAGCGAGACTCTGTCTCAAAAAAAAAAAAAAAAAAAAAAAAAAGAAATAATAAATGTAATTCATGTATAATAGATTAGGTAATAAGAAGCTAGGGGGAAAAAGACTATTATTAGAAATCTTAAGATTTTTGTTTAAAAGCAGTTTTCTCTTTAGTTAATTGAAACCAGAAATGAAGTTTAATAGGCTTCCTATCCTGTTCATAAAACCTAGCTCTTTTACCTGTTTACAAGTGAAAAAATCATACATGTTAAGAAAGAGTCCAACAGAAATTATGTTTTTGGCTAAAAGTGAGCCTTTATTACAATTCATACTTGTGAAGAAAACTACTATAAAGTAATCAAAGTATTGTGTCTAACACTGCTGCATAGATTTTTTTTTCCAGTTTAATATTTAAGACAAAAAATTAAGCAGCACATATATTTTCACAGATAATTTAAGGTACTTGAAAATGGAGACAATATGTCTAACTTATATTTAAAATCTTCAATTTTAACTGCTTTGCAGATAATAAACATTCAACAAGGTGAACTTATAACAACTGAACCATTTTCAAACATCTTTCAGGAGTTGCAATAAATAATATAGTCAGTACAAAAGTACCTTTCTAATTCCTGGAAAAAAAAATTTGTTTCATGTGTTTAGATTTTTACTTCTGGATTCATTTATTTCATATAAAAATCTAATTTTCAGTATGAATTTCACAGTTATATAAAATTTTAAAGAAACTATCCAGTTTCAGTATCCCAATCCATCTAAAGCTTCATAGAAATTAATCTATAATTTTTCCAAAGCTATCCACGCCAATGTGTTCACATTAAAATACCTTATAATTTCGTTTGTAAATAACATGTGTAAATGTGGAATAAAGTCTCCTATAAATTTTTGCAACATGCAGTTTATTGAACTTTACTTACCTTCCCCAAATTCATTTAAAATGACTGCTATTCTTTTGCTATGTTGTTCTGTCAAAATATAGTTTAGAAGTGTTGTCTTCCCAGCACCTACAAAATACATTTGTTTTACATAATTCAAAGACTAATTTTAAAGGCACAAAAAAATAGAGTCCTAATGTTTTGAAGAATTTGCATGCTATTTTTCATATATTAAAAATGGTATAAAAGCTTCTAAGGGAAAAGCACCCTTTGAAAACTATTTCAAAATGTTTTATGTAGACATAAAACTTGAGAAATATTTACAAATACTACTATAAGTCGAATCACAGTTTTTCAATATACACAAAATAATATGCCTCCTTCATTCAATACAATAACATAAGGGCATCTAAATCTTCTATTAAACAAGGAATTATTGAAGTAATGGCATCCAAGGAATTAAGTATTCATGATGTTTATAAAATATAAAATATTTACATCCTACTTTACATGACAATGTTTCTGGACCAAGAATATATGGTTTACTTTCCTAAATTTTACACACCTTTGTGTAAAATTTTACACACCTTCTATTTCAACACACAATATTAACCAGACACAAATTCAGACTGAATATATGGCTTTTAATATGCTTAAAAGAATCTATGTAAAAGTGATTTTATGAATTGGGGAATCGGGACACATTAGCATGCATGGAATATTCAGCAGGTATTCATAAAGCTATACTAACTTTATCCAGTAGGTGGCATATTAAACCTAATATGTTCCTCTCAAGTAGACGGAAACATTACACACCAAAGCAGAGTGGGGAAAGAAAGAGAAAAACCTAACAGTATAGAAGTGAAGTTCAACTGTATGAATATATCACTTATTTATCTTTTTCTGTTGGTAGACGTTTGGGTTGTCTCTGGTGTTTTGCTATTACAAACAGTGCTGCTAAAACCTTTTCCACATAGCTTATACATGTCTTCTGAAATACATTAAGTTTTCTAGAGTATAACTAACTAGGATGGATTTGCTGAGTATTAGGGTATTACTGTCATCAACATTTTTAGGTCAGATTTCCTTAAAAGCTTTTGAAGAGATGAAAATTTGGAATGATGGTTTAGATGATGGTTATAGTGCTTAGAAAGCTCAACATAAATGTGAAGTATAGAATGGAAGGGACAGACTTTAAGGAGAGAGGGCAATGAGGAAGTTCTTAAAACCAGTCCAAGCATGAGATAGTGGTCCTGAACATGAGTGTTTCACAGGGCAATGACAGTGAAAATTGAAAGGAAGGGGTGGGATATAAGAAACCTTCCAACAGAGGACTTACTAGGGCTTAATAATTAACCATATTATGAAGAAAAACACTTTAAGACATAGTTCATTCATTCAAAAGTATCTACTTATGCTGGCCCTTGGTAAAAAGTGAACAAGACAGTCTCTGCCCTCATGGAGCTTAAAAATATTAAAGGAAGGGGGGATGGAGGGGAATTCAGATGAATAAGGACGCAATTGTGTCACAGGATAATACATTCAATAGATGTACAAAATGCTATGGAGAACCTAAGAGGACATCTAGCCAGAAGAGTAACAGTAAGAAGAAAAGCACATATTCCAAGGACTAAAGTAGTTGGCATGCTCAAGAAGTAAAATTAGTTCAATGTGTTGGGCCACAGTTTGGCAGGCTGGAGAGGTTGGCAAGAGCTAGAACATATAGGTCCTTGTAATTCATGTTAAGGAATTTGAACTGTAACCCAAATGAAAGCCACTGAAGGATGTAACACAATCAAACTGACATTTACAAAGATCATTAGGGATAACATAAAGAGAACATACTGAGGGGCAGCAAGACTCAAGACTAGTTAGGAGGCTTTTAAGAGCATTCCAGGTGATTGGGATCACAGGAACAGAATGATTTCAGGGGATTGTAACATACGAAGTTTTTTGACATGTTAAGTTTGAGATATCTGTAGGACATAAAAATAGAAACTATATGGGTATGAAGTTAAAGATGGGATGGGGTGGGGAGGGACCTTAAAAAGAAGCCAGACAAGTAGGTGGTGGAAAAATCAGAATAAAATGTAATAGAAGCAAACAAAAGTATTTCAAAAAGAAATTATTCAAGGATAAGGAGTAAAACTATCCCCTAGATCTGCAACAAGAAGGTTGGTGGCATTAGTTCTCACTCCTGAGCTCCAGGCCATTATCTCCAATGCTTTACTGACCTACCAGTGAGCAAAATGAAGATGGCCAAAGGGGCAAGTCTGACGTATTCTGTTTTGGACAAGGAATTTGCTCAACTTCTCAGTAGAGCAGCCCTTGAACAACAATGAGGAAACATCAAAAATCCATTCCTTTATAAAATTAAGTACTGAGTAAAAAGTAGGAATACATTTTACAGTCTACAAGCCAAAAATAAAAAAACACACCAGTGATTTAATTATTTTTATTTAAAAAGGCTCTCAGGTATCCCAAGTTTGTATTTGTCTCTAGTAGCAACACCTAGGAATAACACTTTTTCCCTGAAGTAGCATTATTTATTTACATTTCTTAACTTTTTCCACACTTTTATTATAGGCATGTATTTATTTGAACCCTTCTATTTAACTGTAAGGTTTAAAAGTATTTCTCAAACTTTTCCAATGAAGAATCTCTGGTGTTTAGTAGCATAAACTGTCCTTCAGGAAATTATACCGTGTTCACAAACCCGTGGTTTTAAGTATCCCTGGACACTCCCAAACGTCCTTAGTTTGAGAGACAGTCTTGAAGGGCAAAGACTGTATTCTTACTCTTTATCCCACAGTGGTTTGCAAAAAGACTTCAAAAAAAAAAATGTTTAGGGCGGGGAATACTTCCCACTAATAGCTGGAAGCGGAATCTTCCAAGGAATGGCCCATGTGCCAGGTATTTACAGACAGGACATGCTTCAGTGGCAATAGACTTAATAAGGTAGGTGTTTCCTGCCCCATTTCGCAGATGAGAAAAAAAGCTCAGACAGGTGAATGGTATTTTTTCCATTTTCAGGCGAGGTACAAAAGCTTCAGAAAGGTGAGATAACTTGTTAGAAGTCACCTGGACAACTAGGGGGCGAGTCCGGGCCTCAAAGGCTAACTTTCAATCTCACTTGAGAAATGTGAATCTAAAGCAGAAGGGTCTGGGCCATCATTAAAACCCCGAAATGAGAAACAAGCCATACAAGGAGCAACTGACCCAAGCCCCTGCCTCAAAGACATTTGCTTTCGGCCAGGAGGCCCCGGTGTCTAAGGAGAAGAGGCACTGGCAGCCCCAAAATCCCAGGACACCAGAGTTCACGGCATTTTCTGACCGGGATGGTTAGTTACCTAAATACCCTGTGATAATTGTGACTGGGATCTTGGCGCCGAACCCAGACTTTTCTTCCTCCTCTCTTTGCTTCGTCTCAATGGGAACCAATTCAGGACAGTCCTCCTCCGCATGCTCCTCTTCCTCATCCACAGCTCCAACAGCCTGTAACATCCCGGCCTACAGCACAAGTCTGCCGCGAGTCTAGAGCTGGGACCCAAACACCAAACCACAGCGGCGCACGCATAACACGCCACTCTTGGCCAGGACCTGACGTCATTATACTGCGACGGTAGCTCCTCCTAATCCAGCCTGGTAACATGAACACCGGCTGAGGACCGCCTCGCCCCTTGGCCACTCCCCCAGGGGAGCTGGACACGCCTCCGGGGCGTGTTCTCCAGCCCCACCCTGAAGAAGGTGCCTGTCACGTCTGGGGCTTGCAGTCTTAATAGCTGCTGGCTGTGGGCAGGGATGAGGCCAGGCTGACTGGAACCTGCAGCAGATAGCCTGACCTAACCAGTCCCAACAGGGCATAGACTTTGCCAACTTGACGTTTTTTAGTCTCATTTTAAAACTATTTTTAATTCATAGGGGAAAGAATGGAAGGTTCTTACACTACAACATTCATTGTAATTATTCTATCCGAAAGACAATTGGTGAAATTCTTTTCTTTTTTTATAATTACGTACTATATACGTATATCCAAATTATTGCACTGTTCATGCATTACCTTTTTTACTTTTCTTTCTCATTGTTTATTTGGACCTCAGGTAACCTGAGTTCATTAATCATATTCGTTGTTTCATGACACTCTTTCATCCATAACCAATGGAAAGCCTTCCTTCCTATTTATATAAATGTATAGTGAACTCCTTTGACCTCATTCCTAAAACAAGAAGATTACTAATAAGTTACATATCTATGAGCTCCTCCCCTATTCCAACCCATAGCCTGTCCCACAGCATAATAACTGCAATCATGAATTATTTCAGGATTGCTGATTATTCCTTCTTTTCTTTTTAGTTTTATCACATATATTATATATACTTACACAATGTGTTGTTTAATTTTGCTTGTTTTTGAACTTCATCAAAAGAATACCATACAATATACAATCTCCTGGGGCTTTCAGTATTTTTCAGCACCACTACTGCATTACAGTCTATTGTGTGGCTCTACAGCAATTTATTTATCCATTTCCTGGAAGTGGTTTTCAGGTTTTGCTCTTATGAACAAGGCTGCTATGAACATTTTTCCTGGTGTATGTGTGCTCAGCTTTCCTTGGGTGTCTATGTAAGAGTAGAATTGCTGGGTCTTATATTACACTTTACAAAAAACATGCACAATTATTTTTTCAAATCCAAATTCATACATTTTCCCAACAATGTATAAGAGATCTAATTGATGTATATGTTAATATTATCAGACATTTTTTAGCTCTTGCTAATCACTTGAGTACAAATTAATACTTCATTGTGGTCTTTATTTGCATTTCCTTGGTTACAAGATCAAGCATTTCCTCATGTGTTTGGGCCATATTCAATTCTTAGAACAACCCTATGAACTGCTTGCTATTACCTCCTTTTTAAACATGAGGCACAGAGAGGTTAAATTTTTGGCCAAGTTAAGTCATAAAATCTAACTGATGCAAAAGCCGTATTTTTTATTACTATCCTAATGTCAAATAAATGGTTGATTTCTTCCTTCCTTCCCTGAAATTCCCCATAAAATATACTGCGTGTATTTCACCACTTCTACTGATGTGTATATATATCTTGAAACTATTCTTTGGTATAACTGTCACACTACTGCAGAACATATTTAAGAGAGGGTTTCAGGAGTACAAATGAACTTATCATTATACTCACACCTGCTCAGCCTCAGAAATCAGGAGTTGAATGCTTTGCCAGCTCTGACAATGTAGTCATGGACTAGCTAAGGAAGAAATAAGACAAATAAATACCTGGAGCCTGGTGGTTGAGTTCACTTTATACTGCCAGAGGAGAGAAGTTGTGATGGACAGCCCAAAGTAGATGGCATTAAGCCCTTAACACAATGGTTCACAACTTTTTGGTTTCAGAAGTGCTATGTAATATTGGGGGTTTTTTGGCAACCTAAAGGAAGTAATATTGTACCCACAGGCATCTCACTATTTACTGGGTGACCCTTCAGCACTACATGACGGCCTGAACAGAGGCTATTATAGTCCTGACCACCTTCTTTTACGTATCTTTCAAATAAATTCTTGTACATTCCCTCACATGGCTCTGGCTGAAAGTTATACTAAAATCTCTCATCTCTCACAAAGAACAACCTGTGCCCTATGAGGCCAGCTCAGTCAAGGTAGCCAACAAGCATTGCTGTAACAGTATGGAGCCTCAGAGCAAAAGGAGTTTTAACATCTGTCATAAGTTGAATGCAGGCCGGGCGCGGTGTCTCATGTCTGTAATCCTAGCACTCTGGGAGGCCGAGGTCAGGAGTTTGAAACTAGCCTGAGCAAGAGCGAGACCCCGTCTCTACTATAAATACAAAGAAATCAATTGGCCAACTAATATATACAGAAAAAATTAGCTGGGCATGGTGGCACATGACTGTAGTCCCAGCTACTCGGGAGGCTGAGGCAGCAGGATTGCTTGAGCCCAGGAGTTTGAGGTTGCTGTGAGCTAGGCTGACACCATGGCACTCACTCTAGCCTGGGCAACAAAGCGAAACTCTGTCTCAAAAACAAAAAAAAGTTGAATGCACCTAAATGTCTAACTGACAGACAAATAACTGTGAGGAACAGATAAATAAGGTATAATATATCCATACAGTGGAAAATTATTTGGCAATAAACAGAATGAAGTATTGATGGCTGCTACAAAATGAATCTCAAAAACATGCTAAGTGGAAAAAGCCATTCACAAAAGACCACATCTTATATGATTTAATTTATATAAAATATCCAGAATTGGCAAATCTATAGAGATATAAAGTAAATTAGTAGTTGCCAGGAGCTATAGGTTGAGGAAAGACTGCTAATGGGTACAGTGTTTCTTTGGGGGTGATGAAAATGTTCTAAAATTGGTTATGGTGATAATAGCACAACTCTGTGAATATAGTAAAAGCCATTGAATTGTACACATTATATTAGTGAATTGTGTCATATATGAATCTCATCTAATAAAGCTGCTATTGTTTAAAAAAAATTAAAGGCTGATCTGAGCATCAAAATGTGGGGGTGCCAGTGTGCCCTGTCTTCAGCAGTTTCAGGTCCTGACCTTAGGCATGAATATAAAGATTACAGCTTGATAAAATTTTTCCTTTTTAGTCTGTTCCCATATTCCTGTTCAGCAAAATACCTTATCCATGGATTCTGTAGAGTTCTGGCATTTTCTTTTCTGACTCTATTAACTGGAAAGAATTTAGCAAGCATCATCTGAGGAGAGGGTTTTGATTTACTCAGATATATGATCTGTAATCTCAGCTCTCCCAGAATAGCTTGGTATGACTTTTTTAAAACTTCTATCATAACAGGATTTACCAATTTTATCTATCCTGAATGAACTTTTACCATTGTCGTTAAATTAAAAATGCTTTTTTAAATAAGTAAAAAATTTCCTAAGTATGATATGGTAGAATCTATTATAGTTTCTAATGTCACTTAAAATTTCATCCTCATTTAGTTTAGCAATTTTATTTAACCCCATTTATTTTATGGCAAAACAACAATAATAATAGTAATATGTTGAGTCCTTACCATCCAATAGGCATTGCGTTAAGCACCTTAAATGTATTATCTCATTTAACGCTTCAAGGTAAATATTATTTGCATTCTCATTTTATAGATGAGGAAACTGAGGCTTAGAAAAGATAAATATCTTGCTCAAGGACATACAATCAGTAAATGGCAGCCCTGGAGCTCAGTACAGCTCTGCCTGACACTAATTTCCATGCTCTTCTAAACCAGAGATCAGCAAACTTTTTCTGTAAAACCACATAGTAAATATTTTAGGCTTTGCAAAGCCAAAAGGCAAATTTGAGGACATTGTATACGTACTTACACAAGAAGAGAGAAAACAAATTTCTACAAAGTTTGAGATTTGAATGCATATGTTAGTTAAATAAAACTCTAGGAGGCTATTGTTTTGGACTGAGCTCCTACTCTAGGCCCCAGCAGACCAAATCAAAATGGAGTCACTCATGCTAAATGCCACATAATCAAACTAAAACTTTAAGGAAACAGAGTAGATCCCAAAACAGACCAGCTTTTTTTTCTTCTTCTTCTCTCGAAAACAGGAGATTCCAGCATAACAAGGAAGTCCTCTCTGCTCTCAACCTTACAAAAAAATAAGCTGAGGTAACTTGATGGTAACTGATCAATTTTTTTTCTATTGTTCTGTTTCCTTGTTCCCACCTTACAAAACCCACTGTTCTGCTATTTCCCAATAAGTTTAGAAACCAAATAAGTCCATTGACAATGGTGACAGAGTGATGTCAATGCCTAAAGTTTTAGCAATTTTATTTAACCTCTTAAGAACTAAGAGGTTGACCAAAAGGGAGAAGTGTTAAATTAAGTTAGGCCTAAAGCTGCCTCCTTACATATTTTAAAGTTCAGCCTAAAGGTTTCTCCATACATAATGAACTGCAACCCAAATTGATGTGTAAACAGACAGGAACCTACTCTTGCAACAGGTAGCAACTCTCAGCCAATCACAGCAGCCAAACCTTCAGTCAACCACAGGCAGCCAACTGTTCAAACCAGGTGCAAATAAAGCAAACACCCAGCTGTAACCAACCCAGCTTTTTCTGTACCTCACTTTCCTTTTTCTGCCATAAATATTTTATCTGACCATGGGGCAACCCTGGAGTGACTCTGAACCTAGTCTGATTCTGGGGGCTTCCCCATTCACAAATTGTTCTTTGCTTAATTAAACTCTGTTAATTAGTCTGAAGTTTTTCTTTTAACATATAATTTTCACATTATGAAATAACATTCTTTAAAAATATTTTCAACCTATTAAACATGGAAAAACCATTCTTAGCTTGCAGGTTATACAAAAAAATATATAGAAAAAAAAAATTACAGGAATGTTCCAATGTGCAAAAAAAAAAAAAAATATAGCAGGCCATAGTTCGCTGGCTCCTGATCTAAGCTAATATAATGTACTGTTTTCTTAAGAATTAAGTGAAATTTTGCAAAAGCAGATCATCCTTGCTATTTTAAACTCGGTTTGTAAATCATTCACTATTGCAAGAATCCTGGGCCCTCAAGGGGTTAGGGACCACAGTTA